ATTCGTAGTGAGATATCAATGCTATTAATTTATTATTTGTAGAATTTTACGACTTAAAAGATACTTTTTTCAAATGGGTCATGACAGTGATATATGATAGTGATTTAATTAAGAAAAACTTAAAATTAAATGAAAATAATCTAAGTTTACTGAATAATAAATAACATTTGAATAAACATTTTTAATTTAATGATGTTATTGTTTTCATACGATGAGTTACTTATATAAAGCACTTATTTGAAATTCGGTTACATTTAAATTTTTTTTATATATTAAAGTTACAACAAATATATTAAAATTTTTATGAAGAATTATAATCATCACTTATAATTTATATTTATAATTTATTTATTATAATTTATAATTTATCATCACTTTATAATTTCTTAATATTTATAGATTTAAAAATTTGCTTAAAAGACATGTTTTTTTGGGATTTATTTAATATTTTGTTTATTAAAAATATTTAAATTAGTTTTAATTATATAAAAAAAAACAAAATAAATAAATAAACAAAATTAATTCAATTGCTATGGGAAAATTTATAGAAGTAGTTCACTTGAACAAACGGCACGTGTTACAAGACTCATATTATGCAATTAGAAATAAAAACATATTTCAATTATAAATAAAATAAACTCTTATATTTTAATTGTACATTAAGAAGTAAATATCGCTACTTATATGCTTAATTGCCATATAAGTCGAGTCTTGAAGCGTGTGACAATCATATTTTTACGCACAATTTTATAAGTCAACTAGTAGCTCCATTCACTTTTTGATAGACACGTAGAAACAGAACTATTAAATCAACAATAGTACATATTTTATTTAATTTTTTTTTTTTGTAGAACTAGCAAACACCATTTAACAATAATATCTTAAAAATTTCCCTTAATTTATTTAAAATAATAATAATTTAAGTAGTAAAAGTAAAGAAAATTTGACGGATTTTTCTCTTTATCTATGTATCTACGTCGAAGTGTTTCCAATGTAATATTGCCCTACATATTCAATCATTAATAACTACTGTATTAATGTGACCTTATGAAAATATTAGTTAACCTTGACACAGTCCACTTACTCGCATAAATTTATCTCAAACATAAACATTTGGATTTAATTTCATATTTAGTCATAATAGAACAACTCTGTCTATCATATTTCAAGATTCATACTTGCATTCACATCTAAATATCTATATAAATTGTCAAGTATAATAAGCTATTCAATACAAATCTCGTTACAGTATCGTAAGTAGCATAAAACTGATCATTTCTGTACAAAGTTAGAGAATTAAGTTCCATGACAAACTTACTCACTTGTCTTAAAGTAAGTAAAAGTAAGTATCTTAGCGATAAAAAATTTTAAATATTTTTTTATTCGATTTAAATATTTGCACTCTTTTCGAAATTAATAGATGAATGAATTGAAGATGAATTACTATTAAAAATATTTTTTTTTTGTATGGTCAGCCAAAAATTCAATTAATTAAAATAATATAAAAAATAAATTTTTGTTGTTGTAATTCACTACTGTTCAAAAAAACCTCTTCATGAAATATTTTTTACTAAATATAAAGTTAATTATATTAAATATAGTGGAATATTAAAAACATGTTTTGTGTAGAGTTAATTTACATGCTTTAATTTTTTCCAGAAATTTTATTAATATCTAACAATTTTGTTAATATACTATAACGAGTTTAACCATAGATTCTAAATCTTAATATGCCAAAACATGGATAAGATTCCTAAAAGGTGGATGATATATCAGAAAATTAGCAATAAACACTGATTTACGAATTACCTCCGCTCAAAAATACTTTAAACACAAAGCAATAAATAATAATAAATAGTAATAATAATAGTAATAATAGTAATAATAGTAATATTAAATAATATTAATTTATAATAGCCAGACAGTAGCTATAAATGGAAAATTTAATTTAAAATAGTAAAACAGTAGCTATAATATAAATGTACAACAGGTTGATCGGTCTTAGGATCGTGCACAAATAATATGGTGGCTATCGGAGTGCTCAGCATTAAAATGGAACCCACAAGGTAGAAGGAATCGTGGACGGCCAAAAAGCACATGGAGAAGATCGATAAACAGGGAAACTAACAAATCATTCAACGAGCTTAGAGCATTGGCGCATAATAGGGGTATCAGGAAACCATATGTGAATAGAGTAAGTTCCTGAATTATGATTGTAATTTATAGAGCATATCATAATAATAATAAAATTAATATGGGAATGTTGAAATCAGATTATCCCCTATTGAATTTTACTTTATAAAAGAAAAAGAAACTTAAATAGGTAGATGAATATAACTTGATAGTTATAATGTCATATATAAATGCTATGAAAACTGTATGAGTACCATAATGAGATTATTCACCATTACATTTTATTTTATGATTAAAAATAATACTACGAGTAACTATGTGTACAACTGATGATAAGACTGTGCATAAATACAACAAAAGCTTTAGCGGTTCTAAACGATGATTAAATTTTTGGGATTACAGAAATGATCATCGTTAAAAATTATTCATTACCTGAGTTTTAAGGTATTTCCACACAAAGTATCGCCACGTCCAACATTTATTGAATATTGAAATCTTCAGATAGTATGCTTTAATTCTTAGTAGGATATGAGGAAAGTCAAACCGATATGTCTCTATGTTTCAAACGATTAAAGTTTAGCACAAATGCTGGTTTCGTAATATTCTTATATTATATTATACTATATATAATATTTTATAAATATTTATAAAATATTTTTACATAATAACTTAAATATCACAGTTAACTCTGTTTAAAACTGACACTTGTTATAAATCAATACATTTTCTCATCTATTATTTCCTATAATGTGACACGGAATGATAACAATAAATTTTATTTATGTTTTGATCTTACTTCCATGAATCGAAGTAGATTTTTATCTTCATCTGAAATTTCCAAATATTTTTCTTATCAATGATACCACAAAAAAAGCAACAATCGATGTTAACAAAATGACTCATTATTTTAATATTGTAAGTAAATAAAAAAAAATTGTTAATAAAGATTCGATAAAATTCCTTTAAAAATGAAATTATTTATGGTAATTTATTTTGAAACGTTAATTACGGTTGCTGTGCAAATTTTTATACTTTGCATGTGATATGTATATACATATATATATATACATATATTGCTAATTGCCACTAGAAAATTTTTAATATAATATAAATTAAATTATTACAGTGCAAAAACTGTAAATAATTAGTAAAAAAAAATTTTAAAATTATTTTATTGTTATCTGCATTGTGTAGAGCAAAAATAAATTTATCTAAAAAATATAAATTGGTAGCATCCGTAGTTAATAAAATTTTATAAGCAAACAATTTAATTTTCTATTGTTTTGTTTACATAGAATTGCTATTATTTCGGTGACGAATTTAGGATGATCAGTTACGTCAATTGAAAATTTGCAATTTACCATTGGCAAAAAAAACAATAATCAAAATATACACTGCTTCGGAAAATTTTTCTAAAAATAATTGCAGCGCAATTCAATAAATACGCTATAAAATATACTTTTAGAACACAAAAACACTCATTTATAAAAACAAATATTTATAAAAACAGTATTTTGTAATACAGTTTTAATCTTAATCTTAATAACTAAAAGAATTTGTTAATATATTATTATTGTTATCTGAAAAATAATATATATTCATATTATAATTAATATCAATAAAGATATCCAGTATAAGATTAAAATACATTAAAGAGCGTAATAGATTTAGAGAAAAAAAAATAAAATTGGTAAAATTATTATCGATTTGATCATTTTTGAAGTATTATTTGATTTGACAAAAATTTTTTATATTTATCAATTAATTTATTTTATTTGAACCTTGAATAAGTTTTCAAAACCCCACCCACTGCCGTATATATTATTATATTATATAAAGTTTAACCTTTTATCAGCACATGAGTTACATCTATCGTGTGTAATCACAGCCTTTTATTTTTAGTAAGGTCTCTAATAGCAGAGATCATATAACTACATGTAGTATATAACATACAAATGTTTTTATACCTATATGCCTATAAGTACATATAAATATATAAATACACATATATGTATTTATTTATATATGTATATATATAAATCTATATGCATGATTAACCGAAAAATTTACTTCATTGAAAATTAAATTTTTGTATTTAACAATTTCCTCATTTTACCACTTTTTCTATCCGATGATAGTTAGATAGATATGTCTTGTCATAGGACATAAAAATTTTAATAATAAAACTTGCATGAAAATTGGTCGATTTGACTATTTCTAAGTATTTATATAAACAACAATAAAAATAATAAATAACATCACAACCTCTCTCTATGCCTTGACTGGATTATTGTTTATCATTTCATCAGACTAAGCAATAATTGACCTCAGATCTGCATACCTCCCCGAGAAGCCTGTAACTATTCTGATTTTCATTAACGCGGTGTTGGTAAGCCTGCCAGTATTCGTAAATAATTTCAGGGCCCTATTGTTTATGTATTTTTTGATCGGATCAATCTTGAGGTCCCTGAGAATGTCATTCGTCCTAATGTACCATGGTACCTTGAAAAGTTATCTTAGACCCTGACTTTGTACAATTTCTAGCTGGCGAATAGTAGTGTTTTAGGCCTTGCACATCCATATAAAAGTGACGGTCGAATTATTTGGTTATAAATTAAATAATATATAGAAATGAATTTTTCTTTATCGACAGGTAGAGACTATAAATAATATTAATGATGGAGATGTAAAATTATTAAGGGGAGAGGATGATGAAACCATTTTTATATACTAAAATCATGCTAATAGATGCATGATTTTATAACTATATAAATATATGCAAAGTTTTAAATGTTAATTATAATTTTTTTTTATTTAAACAAATTAAATATTATTTATTTAAATGTAATTAATGTTTCACATCTTACGCATCGTCACTGTTCCATATTTATGAACGTCACCAATCCGGAAATCATAAAACAACCATTTTTTTTTATATCAGAAATCGATCATTTGCTTGACAATGTGAATTATTAATAGGTGGATTATTGTACTTTTTAATTTTATAACTTTTATTATACTTTTATAATAAATATTATTTCAATAACTTTAATCAAAACACGTTTCGTCCGGCCGCAAATTTCTTCGAAAAAACAACTTCACTGTCTTGTGGTTTGTTTTTAGAATTTTAAATAAATTTCGGCTTGATTTCTTCCGTCCTGAGCATTAAACCACAATAATCGTTTAAAATTCAACTTTTCTTTATTTACCAATTTTTATAATAATTTAAAAATATATTCAATAAAATGCGCTTGAATAATTCTTATAATTTAAAAATATATATTTTAAAAATTCTTTTGTTTATCACACTTCTTTGTAAGCACTGACAATATTTGTTTCAAAAATAATGTCCCAAAATAGATTAAAAATAGCATAAAAATAAATGTAAAAATACTTTTGATTTTATTTAAATAATTTTTTCACTTTCAGAAAAATTGTAAACAATGTTTTTTTTTTGAATTTAGTAAAGCAACAAATAAAATTATTTACTGTAGGAATATTTTTAAGTTTAATGTTCGGCGTTGTACTTGCAACTGCAGAGATACTTTCATGTAACAAATATATAATAATTTTTTTTATATTTTATTTTTGTTTAAAGTTAAACGCTTTACTTAACATTTTGTGTGTTGCGTACTCATTTCGTACAAAAAACAAAAAAAAATTATATAAATATCAAAAGCTTTTTAAAGCATTTTCAGTTCTTGAATCATAAAGATACGAAATTTAACTTTGAGTTATAATTATTGAGCAATACCAAATTTCACTCAAAAAACTTAATAAAAATTTAATATAAATAGATGATTTTTGAATAAAGCTCTTTTTTAACTTCTAATCAATAACTAATTTATAATATTAAAATTACTTTATAAATAATTTTTAATTAGGAAATAATTAACTTTTTATAAATTAACAAATTTTGCGATTATTTTACTAAATTAACTATTATTTATATAAATAACAAATTGTGATCTTACAATACAACCAAATTAATACCTCAAATTTAGTGCGCTTTCAATTTTACTTTGCATTAAAAATTAAATTCAATCCATCGAAATTCTCTGCCATTGATACTTTTATGATTTGTCGCGAGACAATAGTATTCCTACATTCAATTTCATACTTCACGTCAGATATACCAGCAGAAACGCCTCCTGCAGGCTTGCCACCCTATCTACCCTATTAAGACTACAATTATTTTAGCAGAAACCAAACGGCAAGCATTTTTTCGAGTTCGTAACCGACGCCATAATATCAACTATGAGACAAGGCTCTCTCATGCTTTCCTTTTTTTTCTTTTTTTTCTTTTATTTTCTTTTCTTTTCTTTTCTTTTTCTTTTCCTTTTATTTGTTTTCTTTCTCTTTTCTTTTTTTTTTTGTATTTTCTTTTCTTTTCTTTTTATTTACTTGAATTACAATCTGTTACTTTCAACAACTTCCCTTAGGTTAGGTTAGGTTATACCGGCGATCCCTTGTGGATTCACTTATGCCTATTGACCTATTATGTTACCGTATATATAGGAAAAACTCATGGTTTAAAACCAACTAGAACCTTTGGCGAAGCATAAAATGCAATTTAATGTCAGGTCCTGTAATTGATCAAAGTCCTCAAGAAAGGGGATTCCTAGAGTATTAAAACACCGTCGTGCATGTGCTGGGCAAAAATATAATAGATGAAAAATAAGACCTAATCTTCTACCATGAACCTCTACTTTACAGTGACCTGTAAGTAAACCTACCAAAAGACCAATATCTCTACTATGTATCTCAATGAGAATTTTGGATTTTCTTCTATCGGAACGTAACCAGATTGCATACAGATGCCTGCATATCATTGAGTCTTCTCATCTCTTATTTAAAATTTCAGTACAGAAATAACTCAGTAATAATTTGCATGATGTTATGGCCAGATTATGTAGGTGTTCCGAGTGCGGTCCTGAAGCACTTTTTCTGGCTAGCTCATCTGCTCTACAATTGCCGAAACTATTCCTTTGACTGGGAACCCAGATTAGAGACATATTGAGCTTCCCTTATATCTTCCCTTACAACTGTGACTTTCATGACCCCACTCAGAAAGTCTACACATGATAACCTACCATTGCAGCTTTCTGCCTTTTTTATGGTCTTTGCAATGTGGATAAGAAAAATAAGAATTTATAAATGTTAAGTATATTATTTCCTACCTATTGAGCATTTTGACATTCAAATGACAATTAAATATTTTTTTAACAACATAATTATGTTTAACTAAAATTTATTTTACACCATATATTGCAAATGCAGTTTCTACTAAATTAATTAATTTATTTAAGTGTTGAAAAAAACCTCAACTAATAACTCACGTGTAAAAATCGTGACATGGAACGCTAAAGCATACATTAAGACTGAAAAGTTTTCGGAAATTCTCATTTAAAATTCGCGCGCTGTATATTTTTCGATATTTTAAGTTTATGTAGTTTGGCAGCACTGTCCTTAATTACTATGCCAAAAATGAGCTCGATCTGTCAGACAGTTCGTTTACGGCAGCTGTTGAAACCAGTTCACCTCAGTAGTGCGTTGCGAAATGTCTTCGACGGTCGTACGACCGTCCTGGAAGGCTTTGTACCACTCATAAACTTGAGTTTTCGATAAAACTGATTCCCCATAAGCCTTTTGTAGCATTCGCAACGATTCTGCACACGAAATTTCGTTCGAAACACAAAATTTGATGCAAACTCTTTGTTCAATATTTTTTTCCATTGTTTTTTTCGCAACGCCCTACTGAGGTGAACTGGTTTCAACAGCTGCCGTAAACGAACTGTCTGACAGATCGCGCTCATTTTTGGCATAGTAATTAAGGACAGTGCTGCCAAACTACATAAACTTAAAATATCGAAAAATATACAGCGCGCGAATTTTAAATGAGAATTTCCGAAAACTTTTCGGTCTTAATGTATATTGAATTCATAGTAGTCAATGATGCATAAATTTGCAGCACAAATAATAGATCTCCAATCATTTGAAAATGTTGTAATCTCGTTAAATATTACTTAATTTATTAACGCCTCAGAGATTATTGACCACAAATTATTGTTCACAGCTTAGCTTTCAATATTGCTTAATAAGAAAAATGCACGGCACGCCAATTAAAAATTACATCAATTTGAGTAGCACGAGTAAAAAATAAATTGTAATTTAAATTTAATTAAGAAAACAACAATTTTAATTGTTATAATTTATGTCTTATTATTAAATATAAAGAAGAAGAAGAAGCCGTCTCTTGATTCTTGATTCTATATAAGGTTTAAAAAAAGGCATTCATTTGTATATTAAATTAAAAAAGGTGAATTGTTTATTAAATAGTTAAATATAAAGAAAAAAATATCTTTATTGTTTTATATGAAGTTTGATAACAAATATAATAATATATAATATAAAAATAGTATATATGGTAGTTGTCGTTTCTACATTTGTTCTAATGTGTCGCGTATAGCAAAGCTGCCGACTCTACTATCCAGAAGCTACAAGTTGCTCAAATATAATCACGAAGCTTATGAGGAGTACACAAATTAGTCAGTGAGATGGGTGGGACTCTACAGAAACCCCCCAGCCCAGATGCACTAACTTGGAAAAGGCTTAACATCAACAAGATTTATATCTAAAAAACGTAAATTTGGACTTTCAGTTTAACAGAATTCTAGTTCAACCCTTAATAAATGTACTCTAAAAATTATTACCAAACAATCAAATTCAAAAAATATTTCCGTTTATTAGTTATATCAAAGAGATAGCGAACGATCATTATTATGTTGAGGCTATTTGAGTCAGTGCACTTCAGCACTTTAACTCTCTATTAACTGCGAGATTTCTTCATAATCCTTCATCACTTCATTAGACTAAGCAATTATTGTCCTCAGATCTGCATACCTATTCGAGGAGCCTGTAACCATTCATATATTTGTACATTTTATTGGCTGATTCGTAACATCCCGTTTTTACTTCGAGAAGTAATTCTTTTGTGCAAAAAACTTTATTTTTGGGTGATCCATTTTTAATATTAATTTACAGTACATCAACGGTCCGTATAAAAAAACTCAAATAACTAAATTCATATACCAATTTTTAGTCCATTAAATTTACTTTAATTCGCTGTCTACTTCATCGTTAATTAATTATATTAACGATAAGTAACCAAAAAAAGATGTATTCAAAAATAAAAGTATTTATTGATTTATATGTTTTAAAAATTTATATATTATATATATGATAGAAAATCTTTAATTCCACGTGATGATAATATTAAATGTAGTATCGCAGCTATTATAACAAAAATTCCTGATATTACATAGACGATAATTGCAGAGTTTCCGCAGTTGAAGACTATAGCTATGAGCATTATAATTCCTGTGATGCCTTCTATGGTACCCATTATTAAATTATGTACAATAGACTAAAACCATTATAATTATCAGATATCTTTAAAAAAATAATAAACACTAATACTTATTTATTTACCACCGGGTCCAGTCCCATATCTTCAAATAATATAACTATTATAAGTAAACTCAAGTTCATTATTACACAGCTTGGGACAAGCAGCATAAAAGGCATTACAATCCATTCTATCTCACGACCTTGTACACAGAAAGATTTACGATACCAATAGGTTAGAGCTAGGCCAAGAAATTCAAAAATCTTTGAAATAAGAATAATTATATCAAACATATAATTAAATCGAATTTTAAAAACTTACAAACGTTATTGCAAATAATATAATAACTAATGTATGGCGAACCATTTCACTAAACTGGAACGCAACGTTTTTTTTTAAATAATATCAAAAATATATAGCAAAGAAAAAAAAAATTAATTTAATGGAAAAAACTAAATTTTAATATTTAGTTCATAATTAAATAAATATAAACGCTTACTTATAAATTAAATTTAAAAATAATAAGTATTGGAATGTGTTTGTAAAAAGATATTTAATCCTTGTAAATTTCTTCCAATTTCTTATATATAATATAATTTCTCTTTTAGAATTTAATGCTTTAGTTTTTATAGACATCTTCGTGACTGTTTTTCAACTTTGATTGTTCTCATATCCATTAGTTCAATAATACATATAAAACAGTTATTGCAAACCACTAACCCAAATAGATAGGCACATATCAGTTTTACTGTATCCAAGCAGTTATGTCGTTCATCTCTATGACTTCAAATTATCTATGTGCCGGGGAACAGCAATGTAAAAGGAAACTGTATCTTAGATAGGAAGAAATAATCTCTTAAATTTTTTAGAAAAATACCCAACAGATTGATATTCTTTTTAGAGATCTGCGAACATATAATCGGAAAAATGTGTCCAAACAAATTAGATGAATAGTAAAATCGAGAATCATATTATCTTACAAGGCTCATCTGATAAAAATGTGACATAAAAATCATAGAGACTTCTTTCAACGCTAATAAATCTAAACACAATACTTATATATGTCATCACTGAACACTATCTAAGAGTGGTTATGCCTTAAAAATGGGCATTACAGTTACTCACTGCTGCTGAAGCTGCTGTGGGGAAGAGGAAACTATCACTTTTTGCTTTCAAACCCATAATAGAAATACAATAGGTTTACAATACAATAGCTTACATTTAGGTTTTACCAGCTAGAGGACATCTCATGTGTTACTACAATTTCTCTACCGAAGCTACTGCGGTTAGCAATATTAATACGATAATTCAATGTAGAATAATCATGTGATAATACAACATCCTAAATTTGTCGACTCCTCACATGGGAAGTTGACGGTCACATTCAACTATCTACCTACCACGACGTATATAACAGCATAACTGAACACATGGACCAAAAAACCTTTATTGACTTTAGGTTATACCGGTGATCCCCAGTGGATCCACTTAGGTCTATTGGCCCATTGTGATGTCGTATATAAATAATGAAAAACCTCAGGGCTTAAAACTACCTAGAACCTTTTACAAAGCATAAAATGCTATTTAAAGTCAGAACCTGTAACTGGTCCAGGTCCTCAAGGAAGGGGGCTCCTAAAGTACTAAGTCGCCGACGTGCATGAGCTGGGCTTATTGACTTTAATATTATTAAAATTACATATTAAAACATTATATATATATATAATTTGGAGTTAATTTGCAGATCATATTTCCAGGACTTATTCATCATTCATGACCAAATACCCCTCTATTCTCTTCGTAGCTTCACCGTACATAAATAAAACAAATCAAGTTGGCTTTCTGCTGAACAAACTAACCACATAAAATATAATACGTCAGCATATTGAGAAATGGAGAAATTTTAATTCGAAACTAACAAAACGAATAGTTTATTTAAAAAAAAATATTACCATTTAAATACATTACAAATCAAATAAACTATAATAATAAATATAATAAAATTTATAACTGTAAATATATTTTTTTAACTTTATGGTATATATACATTATTTCTTCAACTTTGTTTGTCTTTTGTTCCAACACCTGGAAACGTAACTTATTAATAAATACTTAAAAATGAATATTTTTATGGCGTATCACACTTTTCACTCATAGGCAGATGTTTGTGTCCATATATGCCATGAATTAGATGTACTATAGCCGATATAATACAAAGAAGACCAGCCAGAAGTAGGAAAAATTGAGTTTTATTTCCACAAAGTGTTGTTAATATTAAAAACATAACAGCTCCAGATATAAAGCACATTATTGCAATAATAAAATTGAAAACAATAGTCTAAAATTTAAAAGAAAAAAAAAATAATTAAACTTATTAGATATAAGACTATACTTTACATATCAACATATAAATTTTACCATTGGATCGACACCAAGATTTTTCATAAAAAACAAACATAAAAGTAAAATGGCATCCAGTAACCAAGCAGAAGGAATTAAAAGAAAGAAAAAAAAAATATATATAGCTATTTCTCCACCCAAAACGCAATCAGAGTGCAACGAGTAAACAGCAATTACAATTGCGATGCTTTCCAAGATCTAGAGATATGTAATATACTATATATTAAGAAGACAATATATATATTTCGATATGTATATGAACACTTACACAACATATCAAAATGAATACAATACTGACTTTATGAGGTTGCGCCGCCATGATAAAGTTATATTTTTCCGCCAAGTGAAAAAAAATGCAGAATTTTTTCCCAAAAACTATTATATTAAATTAAAACATACTGATTATTTTCTCTATGATATATATTTGATAATTTAATAAAATTTTATATATACATCACATAGCAATATTTACGTGGGCGGTTTGATAAGTCAGTGACTTTTTGAATAAAACATTTTTTTTTTCGGCAAATAAACATTTTATTTTTCTACATAATCACCTTTTAGCTCGATACATATAGTCCAGCGTTTTTCTAATTTTCTTAATCCCTCCAAATAATAGGTTTTCTCAAAGCTCTCAAAATACGCGTTTGTTTCGGTAATGACTTCTTCATTCGACTCAAATATGTTACCGCCCAGCCATTTCTTTAGGTTTGGAAACAGAAAATAGTCGCAGGGGGCTAAATCTGGAGAATATGCTGGATGGGATAGCAGTTTTGTTTCGGTAATGATTTCTTCATTCGACTCAAATCTCTTACCGCCCAGCCATTTCTTTAGGTTTGGAAACAGAAAATAGTCGCAGGGGGCTAAATCTGGAGAATATGCTGGATGGGGTAGCAGTTCGTATTCCAATTCGTGGATTTTGGCCAGTAATGCTTAATCAGCACACGAAATTCACTTTTTTCCATTTTCGTAAAAATTTACGAGATTGTCTGCTTTGAACGACTATCAAACACCAACTAAACGAGGTAGCTTGCTCAAAATTAGAAAGTTACCCTGGTAGATTACAGCTGATGGCAGCACTGTTGCATTTAAAGTAACTGCGCAGGAAATTCAAAAAGTGACTGACTTATCAAATCGCCCTCGTATAATCATAAGGTAATTTCGTACTGCATTGAACAGAGTTAACCAACAAAACATTGAAGAACTCAACTCTAACGCTGAAAATGAAAACCACTATATCTGATATACTAAAATATTTGAATTCCTCCAGTCTAGACTATAGCTTTACGAAAATTTACTAGATCTGTCAGAGTCTTGATTATGTTGAGGCTAGTTGAGTCAGTGCACTTGAGTACTTTTATTCTCGATTAAATGCGAGGTTTCTTCATAACACCTCTCCACGCCTTGACTGAATTATTGTTTATCACTTCATTAGAATAAGCAATAACTGACCACAAATCTGCATACCTTCCAGAGGAGCCTGGAACCATTCTGAGATTCGATAGTGCGGTGTCAGTTTTCGTAAATAGTTTCCATGTAAGACCTAAGCCTGTTTATTCAACATTCATAACGGGTAAATTTTTTACAGTATGGGGTTATCAACCTTAAGACTAACCATTTGTCTAAATTTGCTACGCCAGACGCTCGCGTTTGCACTTTATAAAAGAACTTTGCTTGCAGAGCTGAGATGTTATTTAGCGAGCGTTTCTCACATTTTAGAGCTTCATAATTATGGGATTATGTCGCCACGATTCTCTTGTAAGCACTTTTCCCACCTCCTTTTTCAACCAGGTCTACGGAGGAGTTTCTGTTCTAAAATAGGAAAATAAAAAAAAGTATACTCAATTTATTTCTAATTTAAGGGTGATACATTAAATAAGTACTGCAATTTAGCCAATGTGTCCTTCGAGTGATAGATACATTGTACAATTGTTCCACTAAAATTTGATTATGAGTTATTCAATTGATTTTCCTGATATTCCTTCCTGATGGATTATACATTGTTTTAAGAGAGTACAATTTAGAATTAGTGTGATCATCCAGGAAAACAGAGACAGACTTTGACACATTTTTGCATACTCTCGATTCTCAAGCCTTAATATCTTGTATATCTTTATTCCTGATACACCATGGTGCATTTAGCATACTTCTCAATACAATATTCTGATAAGTTCAAAGTTTTCTAATACTCGCGATTCTCAAATCTTAAATATCTTCTATATCTTTATTCCTAATACACCATTGTGCATTTAGCATACTTCTTTCTCAATACAATAATCTGATAAGTTTAAAGTTTTCTAATGATGGAGGAAGTTTATATAAATAACTAATCATTAACTGGACTTATTTTCATTTATTATCTTTAATGTTTAACAACAATTTTTACATTTCAATTAAATTAACTCAGTGGCTTCAAATGGATTATATTATTATAAGTATGTAGTTATATTAATTATACAATGACGTCAATTATAAAATAAATTCCCAAGCTGAAAACTAAACTTGTAATGAAATGATTACGGTTTAATGAACTCTAATTTTACTTAATTGATTTGTAGTTTTTCAGTTATGTTCACTTATGGTATAGGTATATATAACTATGTAGATTATGATAATACATTGACGTATAATGTTTATCTCAAACAATAAAAACTTTAGAAAAAGTTTTAAATATGTCATCTATACTATAATATATATTAACGTCATTTTATTAATACAGTGTTTTGACCTACGATAATAATTTGGTGCTGAATAAACGCTCCATAAACACTCTTCACTTAAAACACAGATGTTTTTGGTCTATTTTTAAAGCGAATTCTGCAAACAAAACAAAAATATATCGTATTTATATTTGAAGACTGCCTCATGTCATGGAAAATACACATAATACATAGCTTGGGGTAAAACAAAGTATGCCGCCATAGCATGCATTTCCAAACAGATCTATTTATAACTGCAACATTCCAACAAAACTCAAGAAATCATTCGTTGTTACTTTAAAATGAGGTTGCTCCGCATCAATATAAAAAGGATCTTTCCTCTTGTAACATCATACGGAAGTTTGTGATTTTTGAATTTATTTTCCAGTGAAAATGAACAATTCGGCATTTGGTTTACGAGGTATGAGCCAAAATTTTGGCATAAAAATTTGTTGCTGTCGCGTATGCACCTGCATCAACTTTGGTTTTGCAATGTCAAAAATGGGCCTTCTGAAAATGTTACAACTGGGTGCGGCTATGTTATGCGAGGGTCTACTTATACGCTATGGTATTCCAGCAGCTGATACTATTGGACAAGCATTAACTAGTTTCTTAACAACGACGGCATACTGTTTTACCACAACAGCTATATTATTGATATGCTATTGCTTCTCAGAGAAATCATTCAGTTTGATAAGGCAGTCATTATTCGTAAGTCAGCATGTTAATTTTTTTAATCATTTCTACAAAAGTATTGTCATTATCTTTAAGGAAACACTTTTTAATGGCGTAGCATGTTGTATGTACTTTAGCTCTGCTAGTTATATGGGTTTCGCTTGTGTCGTATGGTTACATCCACAATTTTTAGTACGTCCAGGATTTTGGGCTTACCCAGCGATGACAGCTGCTTATGTGAGTTTACATTATATCTCATTCAGCGATGTCTTTATTTATTATCTTTTATTAATTTCTATAGTATATTGGATATGCTGGGGGTATTTTACATGGCATAGATGCATTTTTAGCATTCAAACATTTTAGAGGTTACAGATAAAATAAGTGTTGCGTTGTGAACATTTAAAAAGTGAAAAAAAACATTTCAAAAAATTGCTTAATGTGATATATTTTATATACATTAAATATATATTTAAACCAATTTTTATAAGACTTTGATAAAAATTAAGTATTTAAATTACCTTTTCGAAAAACTAAGACTGTTGAACAGCGATGGCATCTAGATCCCAGGACTACTTATTTTATATAACAATCTCGCGCCCATAAAAGAACAACTAAAATCAAACCATTATAAACTCTTAACATACAATTTTATCTTAATAATATATATAGCATAATATATGTAAAAAAACAAGATTATTGATTTATGTAAATAAAGACATTAACATACTTAACTATATATTTCTTGAATCATATACATTAATAATGTTTGTATACAATTTGACTTATTTAAAATTAATATTTAATGTAATAATACAATATATAATACAATATATATTAATAAAATAAAAAAAAAATAGTAATATACTATATAAAAATAATGTAATATAATATGTAAGTCCTTGCAGTAGCTCGTTATATATTATTATTATATTATACGTTATAGATATTATATATTATATACATTATATATTATTATTATATTATATAAATATTATATTATATATTATAAATAAGAAATTATAGCTAACTTCTAAGTAATATAATATAAACTGCGATAATATTCGACAGACGATATACAGTCACTAAGTTTCTAATTTATAATCATTTTGGTATTATTTGTATATAAAATATTTTAATAAATTTATTTTTGTATAACAAAAAATATCGCAGAAGTGTTCCCCGAAAATGATTGTCGACTATAATTAAAGTATTGGATTGTTAATAAGCTATTAAAAACAATCATTTGTGTTTTAATTAACGGAACAATTAAACTGTTGTATAATTAAGTTTTTAATAAGGCTAATAATATTTTAATTTAAATCTTAATACGCTTAGCAAATGTTTTTATATCTGATAAATATATATAAATACTAAAATATAATAATACATTGTATGCTATTAAATGTCTTTTTATATAAATTAAAATTAATTAAAATTAATAGTTACTTGTTTTTCTACAAAATCATTGAGAGACAATAAACAACCGTAACGTAATATAGACTTATTTCAAATGCCAAAAAAATGTTATTCATTTTTTAATATATTATATTATTATATATTATTGTTATATGTAATATAACTCTAAATTGTGTCTTTATTCAGTCAAAATTTATTAATAATATCATATTATATTCAATAAAGCTTATAGTATTAAAAAATTGAGAACGCCTGGTTTTTATGTATAACAATTTATATAATTTATTAAAATATAACACTGGATTGAAAATTGTTAATAAAATAATATATAGGCGAACTTTAACATAAAATGAAATAAAATTTAAAAATAAATATATTAAAAATTATTTTAAAATAAATTTAAAATAAAACTTAAAAGTTGTATAAAGGAGATTCTGAAATAAAGCTTTTGTCAGACATAAAATGTGATGCCGGTCTTTTTTAAATATAAAGTTTTAACAAATAAAAATGAAACATTTGTAGTAAAGGATGAGTGTACGTTTAATCCAATAGTAGTGTAACTCCCAAAGCTTCAATATAAAGAAATCAAAAAAATTATATTGAGATTCAGAGTCGGGCTCAGTCCATTTTGTTGTTTGCCTTAAATTTCCTTAAAAGAAGTTGTAAAATTAGTATATATTAAGGTTATTGTGATTGTACATAAACATTTATTTACTTAATGTTTTTATAAGCTTGGCTAGACTCATAATCTGCTTTCAGTAATGCTATTCTCACCCAACGTGGACGTTCATGTATGGCTTTATGTATAACGAATTTTAAGCCCAGAAGCATATGTTCAAATATAACAAATGATATGTTTGGCATAGTTGGAAAAAAATTGGAAAAAAAACTCCTAAATAAAAATTTAAAATTTAAGAGTAAGTAATATATAAAACATTGAATATTGAATTCCAATTACCTAACATTCAATTGCAAGTAAAGTAAACCACAATTACTTAGTATAGCCATTACCGATAACAATTCAAATGCTAACTGCCAAGCTCCAATATTTTTGGTACGCCGCGCAAAAGGGCGTTTAAAAATATTACACAGCTAAATATATTAAATATAATTAAATATTCTATAAATATCTGTAGATATATTATACGATATATAGAACAATATATAATTACTTTAAATAAATCTATATGCATTGCAAAAACATTATTGATGAGAGCACCAAACGCAGCGAAAGGCGCTACTGCAGCAAACAGTACAACATAACCAAACTGTATGCACATTTGTAAGTAATCCTCATAGGTTGATTGATATTGATCCAAACCACTTTCATAGAAACATTGCTCATAACGTGACAAATTAGTTACGACTTTTTTCTTTTCTTCGTCAATTTCTTTATGTAAATATTTGGCAAATTTTTGACGCATAACAGCCAATAATGGTATGCCAACTTCTTGTGCGATACAAACAATCTATAAAAGAATTTCAAATTATTATTTAAAACAAAATTGATTACATGTAAACCTACTTGAAATATAAGTAACTGCATCATCAGTTGATATTTTAATTGATTTAGATCTTGCAAAACAAATGCAATATAAAATAAGGAAAAGAAATTATTTACAATTTCAAAAATCATAAGTTTATTAACACGATGACGATCGTATTGTGAACGTGTGCGATGATTTTCCACCTCAGTCAAGAAGGTAGCTAACTTTTCATAAGCCCAAGAAAATATTGCAATTAACACGGATTGTACAATTACAGGTATATACAATAACCATGACTCCGGACCTAAAAGAAATCAATTTCATGAGTTAAGATTTTTAACTTAGTATATTTATGTTTACCAAAATCTGCTAAAACTTCAGCCTCAATCTGAAACTGATACAATGCAAAATAAGCTGCGGCAATAACGCAAAGAAGTACCACTGGATATGATATACAATACATTTGAAGATAAGTATAACGTATAGGGTACTGTAGGATCATTTTGCCTGTTATTGGATCGGTTTTAAGTTCTCCACGATATGCTGTTCGAGGCTTATCCAAGCTACTCATTTCAATATTACCCCAACGATAAGAATATCCAGCACATTTACGTTTCCACAATTCAAGAAATATCTGCAAATTAAACCGATATGTATTAATAATAATTTCTTAGATTTGATAACATTTTAAAATTTTTTCTAACCGTTGTCCATAGAACATAGAATCCACAAACAACTGGCAAATTCAAACTCCATACATATTGCAACAAGCCGAATATTGCAGGAAATACTAAAGCTTTAGTATAGAATTCAATAAAGGCAAAGTAAAGAGCAATGCTTGAACCAAAATAATTGCGGATGTCTTCAATTGGCAAACTATGGCGATCATATTTGAAAGAAAATTTTTCTAAATATTCCTGCAAGTAACAATTTATTAATTAATTGAAACAGCAATTATATTGTTTAACTTACGATGTCATGCAGAGGAAATAAATCTTCAACAGTACCGTTTCGTATGTACGACATTATTGAAGGTTTTATCATATTCTTTATTAGTACGGGTCCTTCACAAAAACGCACAATATCATCGATACTCATTCCTGGCAATAAATAATCAGACACACTATCGCAGTTGAATTTCTGCATTGTACCGGTATTGGTTAATTTAGTTAGTTCAGCCTCATCAGCAAAACGTAGTAATGTGTCGGTTGTTGCCCAAAGATAGAGATACTTCTCCGTTTTACTGTAAAAGAAAAAATTATTAGCATAAGCATTTTACTTATAGCATAAATTAACCAAGCATAACGTCGTCTTACCTAATCACCTCAAGTTTTGTTAATACACCAAATTCTTCGATAATTTTTGCCACATCTTCACATTGCTGTATCTTGGATTTTTCAGAAAATACGATAACTGCATATGTCTATATAATATACTATTAAAAATTTTTTAATAATATTTAAATTACTACGTGCCTTAGCGGTCTCATCCTCGTCGAAAGTTCCTTGTTTCTGTAAAGCATTTAATTTAAGACTACGTTGCCTTCGAAATAATTGATTTTGAATAATACTTTTGGGACGGTTAGCCAAACTCATTTTATGACCAAAATTTTATTTTATTAATATAAAAATATAAATATTTGTTTATACACCGCTCTATCAAGTTTTCATATACACTTCAGCGCTTTTACGATATTCAGCGCAACATTTTTATAAAATTTTTCGTATGGCTTTAGATATGTATTTGACATATATAATATGTTACGTCAAATTACTAAGCAAAATTGGCAAAAATAAATAAAAATATTATTATTAATAACAACATATGACTAAACAGCCACACAATGCCGGTCTATTTATATTTTTCTTTATTCCTTTTAATACCGTCGTTCTAATCATATGGTAAATGTAATAGATTTTACTTACTTGCAAATTTGTAAACAAAACGAAAACGTGTCGTAATTTAGTGATGGAGTTTATTGCAGCACAAAAAGTAATCACTTTTGAAATCAATATGGTTACTAATAATTACTCTAAAAGCCATATTAATACCAACACAATTCCATTTATATACTTATTAGTTCAGTAAATATTAGTTCAAATATATTTTACTAAACACCACATAAATGGTAATTTTAAGACCAGTTAAAATATATTCGTTCATGTAAATCGCATTTAGACTTCTTTACGGTAGTTAAGTAATCGTTTATTTTTTAACACTATTTAAATTGTGATGCAATAGAAAATCAAAGTGAAAGCGAAATAATTCAGTCAGTGCGGATTATGTTTGAATACTAATAACATTTTAACAAATTTGGTATGTTAAGTCGAAAATATTGAAAACAACAACGGAATAATACATTTATAGAACAATAAATTAAAAAGTACTATAATGTACTGGCTTTAATATTTTGTGGTTATGGAACTGTTTTTCCCTACCACTTTAGAGGAGCATTGGTGAACTTCGATCTATAAAACACACACACTGCATAGCCGGCATTGGATTTTTAAATTGATTAAAATAAATCATTTGTACTTCAATTAAATGTACGATTTCAACGACAAGTAAATATCAAATTTCAGTCTCAACTGGTATGCATGAAGAGCACAACAAAAATAAGCACTTTAAGGTTAACTACAATAAATAAAACAAAAAAATACAAATGTCTGGCTTACTACCAAAAAGATGGGCAGATTTTCACATATTGCCACTTCGCATGTCCACATCACAAAAAGTATTGCTTTGGAATTGTTAATAAGTTAATAAATGTATTTATATTAAATTATTTATTTCAATAGGTTGTAATATTTTCGATAACTGCGGGCGTCGCACTGCTCGGAGTATTGGCAAGATTTTTACGAAGGCGGAAACCACCACGGCCACTTCGTCGTGCACGTCGATACACTGGTCGACGCACTCGAAATAGCATGAGAAGTCCCAATGATATGATATCAGTTGCTGGTTCTAAAGCCTCTGCACGTTCTGGTAGTCCAGTAGGGTCAACTGTTGCATATTCAGATCGGCTATCTTTAGCGTCTGGCTCGATTGGTCCAGGTGCACTTGCAACTATCGCACATGGACAATTACAAACAACAGTTTCACAATTAACCGCTCAACAATTGGGTGTTATGGGCATGGAAGCACTTGATACAGTTATTAATTATTGGGAGGATGCTTTAGCTGCACATTATTCTCCAGGTGGGGTACAAGCTTTACTTACTACGTCTGAGGAATCGGAGTTTTGTCGAGAAATACAAAATTTGCTTGATATGGCCTACACACTACAAGACCAAAGTGAATTACTCTTCTTAGATCAGAGATCTGTTTTGTTTCGTGATGAACATTCTATAGATGAAGCTGGTGAAGACGGTATTTCAGCTTTGGAACTTATTGCAGAGGAAGACAAATTGTCACACAGATCAACATTTAGTCGCACAGGTTCCGATCCAAATTTCGATTCAGCTGAAAGTTTTGCTTCAGCTTTAGATCAGGTAGCTGATCTGCGTGAATTCGATGAATTCGTTGAAGCTACATATGAACAATATCCGCTTTATCAAGCAGCACTTAAACACCATGAAGAATCCCCCATTCCATGTCGTACAATACGTACGGAACTAGTTAACTGTGGCAGTGACACAGAATACTTAGTAAAATTGCATTGTGTGCGATTAGGATTTCAATATTTATTTAAAGTAAGTATTACTGTCTTAATTTTATTAATGTACTATCAATATATTATAAATAATACTTTCAAAATGCAGGACCCTACTGTTGGACAATGGATATGCGATACTGGACGACAAATTCTCACAGATCTTCTTTGTTTGGGTGACAAAGATAGTAAAGAATTTCTTGTGGGTTATGAAGATTTAATTAATTATTTACAAGTTCCTGCAAATTGGGACTATATACAAAAAGAACTAGAAGCTCGTAATGTGAAAGCGATGACATTTTATGATATTTGTTTAGATTTTATAATACTTGACTCATTTCGAGACTTAGATGCGCCGCCAGCTAGTGTTACAGCAGTAGTACAAAACAGATTTTTATCTAATGGGTTCAAAGAAACAGTAAGTAAACTGATAATGTTAAAAAAATTAATAACATAAACAAAATGAATAGTAAATTAATTAAATCAGATACAGAAAACTTTCTCATATCGCTTTTTCAAAGTACAAAATAAAAAGACAAAAACAAATTGTTATTTAAGTTAACTTTGAACTTACATACTTGCACGTAATTACTTATAACAACAACAATAATATTCAACAGTATGCATTATGATAATAATATATTATTATGTTGTTACAGCAGCAATGAAAATAAAATAAAAGTTACACGTAGAATAAGTAATAAGAAGAAAAAGTTTCGAATAGTTAGTATTTTTATAACAAAGAAAATAGCTGAAAAAGAATAATTTATCAGTGAAATAACATCACTATGTATATTTTAACATCAACGATTTCAAAACTTGCGTTCGACTGTCTTAGGCATACCATTTTCGGCCGCCAACACTGACTTATTGGAGACAGGAACTTATCCGTCTTTCTTGTACTGCTACTGAGAGATTCATAAATCATATATATACCATATCATATATATTAATACCATTCAAAAACAAGAATGGGTCACTCTGTAAGTGACAATACCATTCCAATAGAATAGCTAGAACATTCAGATTTTATATCTATGACTTCATTCGTAAAGCAAATATTACACATTATATAAACTGGACATTAAAGATACAGTGTTTCAAATTTTTAATTAAGTTTTACTATAACGAGTCGGATGGCCAATCTGGCCACTTTCCAGTAAAAGGAAATCCAGTATTCTCATTGATATTCCTTGCAAAGATATCAGACTTATAGTAAGTTTACTTACAGATCACTGCAAGGTAGGGAAACATGCTAGTAAATTAAATCTCCCCTTCAATCATACCTATTGCAGCTGTCGGGAAGACGATGAGAGTGCCTCTCATTTGATCTATCTTTGCCCAGCTCAAGTGTTGAATCGATGCCGATGACGAGGAACACTTATTAAAAAGCATTTTTAGCTTCACCACAGGTTCTAGGTGGTTTTGAATCCTGACTTTTCCTCTATATACGGTAACACAATGGGCCAATAGGCCTAAGTGGATCCCCTAGGGATCGACGTTATAACCTAACCTACAATAACGATTAAAACACACGAAAAAGCAGGCAGTCCTGGTAGGTAAGCTAGCTTTTATTTACTGAGTAATCAATTTTGCTTACTATCTTTCTAAAATAATTCACAATAAAATATACTAAATAATAAAATATATTCAAAAGAATATAAATATTTTTAATATTGAAACATAAAAAAATTCACTATTTCGTTTAATTTCAGGCATTAACTACTGCTGTTTGGTCCGTCTTGAAAGCCAAAAAACGTCTACTTAAATTTCCAAATGGATTCATGTCACACTTCTATGTTATTTCAGAGCAAATATCACCGCTTATGGCTTGGGGTTTTTTTGGTCCAGATGAAAATTTACGTGATGTCTGCCATTATTTTCGCGATGAACTATTAGGATTTTTATCTGATATATTTAGTTTTCAAAAAACCAGATATACTTCAGTTGAGGAATTTGCTGAAGATATACTTGACCATATGAAGAGCCGTGTAAATAACATTGGGGTAAAGTTTAGTCAATAAACACTAATATATAAACTATAAATACAATATGGAAAAAAACTCAAAACAATGTTTATAGGATATATTACTTATTACGTTATAAAAAAAATAAACTGAACATTTTAAATGATATTAGGAGTTTATAGAATATGACAATTTATGCAAATGTAAATACATTTATTGATATTTTATAATTGGCATTTTAACATATAAAAAATATTTTTGTAATCCAAATGCATTAAAAGCTTTAAAATTGTAATTTCATTATATAAAGAAACAAAATTCATACAAATTGTATATATTTTATTGCAGCATTTATAAATTGTGTTTTACAGTCTAAAATGCAAATTTCTTCATTTCATCATAAAAAAATACCTATTCAATTGTATTAGAAAAACATATTTTTCTATTTTATTCATGACTATTTAATAAATTGTAATTACTTAATAGCTTTTATGAAAAATTAATTTAATCTATATTCTTTTATTAATTTTATTTACAAATATTTAGAATTTCGTACAATTTTTTTAAATGTAGTTAATAACGTATTTAGTTATATGGTATTGTATATGTATGGTATGGATCTACTGTTGAGTTTTAAATAATGTTTGACACTTGTTAATTTAAAATAACTAAGTTTACTAATTTTTATGGCTTAGAATAGATTGTTATATATTTAAAAATAAAATTTGAACAATTTTAAAAAATATTAAAATATTGATTATATATTTTTATTAACGCATAAAACATACAAATGGACTTCATAGTAGTGACACTATAGCCTACAAATGTGTAAAGAGAATTTTAGATTTGAGAATTTTAATTTATTTGTTATACTTTTTAATTTAATATCATAACTAAAAAAATGGCAAGAAAACTATCGAAAAAAGAATGTGTGGCCGTTTTACACATTTTCATGGCTGTATGTACCATTCGCAAGTATATTTGTACTGATATATTGAGATATCATATATATGCATTTCTATATTTTCATGTTATAGATGATATGTATAGCAATCGTTGCGCTTCTATACTATGAAGTCCCTTTTCCTCAAGACTATTTCATATTTTATTACCAAATATGTATGAACACAACTGCTTTTGTTTTTCTACTTTTTGGGTGTAGCACTTGGTGTTACAATTCTAATGTTTCTCGTACCAGATACCAAGTTCGAATATTTGTAAGCTATGTTATTTGAGTATGTACATCTCCAAAAAAATACAAGTGATTATTTTATTTACAGTGTGTCTTGGTACTATGGGTCTTACTTATACTTGATGCAGTGACTTGTAGTTACTGTTTTATAAATTACTGCACTGGCGATGTTTACACGGCATATGAGAAAGATTTTTCTACAAAACTCCAGTACACAATAATTTGTGTGAGCATTTATATGGGTCTAGCAATGTCCCTCGTTATGTTTTTCATAAATTTGATTTTAACCGTTATTATTTGTAAAAAGAGAAGGAGAAGAAAGCGTTCCCGACGACGAAATAAAAGATCATAGAATAGAACATAGAATAAAACAAACATAATTCTTCAACAAAGCACTATAAATAGACAAAAACAAGAATCGGATTTGTAATTTTGATATCCAACAGATACATTTAGTTTAATTCTACGTCGACACTCGAGGACAACGAAATTCAAAAGAAAGAACAAAAACTGAATCTTAAGAGAGGAACATCATTATGTACACAAACTGAAATTAAATTAATTCCTAATTAATTATTTAATAATTAATTAAATAATGTAACTCTTAAGAATAATGCTTAATCGAATATGTTTGTATAAAAAGAAAATATTGTAGACCTATAATGTGTAAATGGCTAAAGGTTGTATAATTTATTCACTAAATACAATAAAAGATTTAAATAATAATATATTATTAATATTGGAATAATAATAATAATACATTAAAATAATATTTATATGGAATTAATTAATTACTTACTTAGTTGACCAGTTGTCGCTGTCACCTGGGCCTTCCAGAGATGATGCGGACGTCCTCTACCGCGTTTTTCACCTGCAGGTACGAAATCAAACACCTTTCTAATCGGATTACTTTCTTTCATTCGGACGACATGATCAAGTCAGCGAAAGCTCTGAATTTTTATGCGGTTAACTATGTCAATATCGCGGATAATAGATCTTCCGGACCATAAATCTTTTTCTCTCAAATTGCTCCTAACGCCTTCTCATCAGTGTTGGTAATTGTCGTTGCTATTCATATAACCCACTTACGTTTCTAAATTTCTACTGTTGCTCTAATTTGGCTTGTATGAGCTCACAGATCATTGTTGAATCGTAGATATTGATTTATTAAGGACTACATTTTAAATTAGATTCCAATGGTACCTTTTCATATAACTTATCATGTATTTATGGAAAAAAAATAAGTATCCAATTGAAAAATATTACATAACAATATCTACGCTACTACTACCTGTTAATTCTTCTACTAAATTGTTGATTACTTTGATTCTATTACCAGAAGAATTATATCCAATAACATAAGTGCACTGTGATCAGAGGTGAGTATATTGTGCACCTATAAAACTTATTGACTTGTCATACTCTTCTTAATTACTTAGAGCAATTATTTATTATATTAGAATTAATTTGTAATATCATATCAATAAACTATTTGAATAATATAATTTGTTATATGGTTACAATATTTTGAGGTTATATTAATAACTATATATTCAAACGAAGATATGTGCGGTTATTGATGTGTTTACTGCAATCTTAAACAGTAATGAGTAGCTTTTTTTACTGGTGAACAGGCCATAGAGGCGCTCAATTCATGTCTGGTAACATTTAAACTGGTGCAAGTATGAAATCTATAGCTTCTGGAAAATGTTGAAAGAGTTTACCTATATACCTTTACTGCAGCTCTCTCTGATCATTTGTGTGTTGGAACCCACGCAGAGAAACTGCGCATTCATCATAATCCTCACTGCAGAAGTTGTGGTAACCCGCATTATACATTTTCTTTGGAATGCCCGGCTTTGACGTCCAGAAGATATAGGTTCTGAGGAAGATACTTATTTGATAGTTTAGCAGACTGTTCATCGGTGAAGACGGAAGGCCTATTAAATGATCTAAATTCGGCGGGATGGATTTAGTCTCTACTCTCCTATACTAGGGTTCTTGCGGGGAATGTTGTAGAAAAACGGCAAAAAAAATTACTATTTGAGGTACATGGAAGTTATCTAATGGCCTGTCAGTGCAACCAACCTACTAACCATTCTTCTGACTGATTTTTATTTCTAACTATAAGTTAACTATAAATTGTATTTGGTATAATCACATAACCCTTGATTATGTAAAATAAATTATCATGGTCATTTTAGTTATTTATTCATTACATTAACTAGTTTAAAGTAGTAATGTGGTAAAGTCATCTTAAAATGCCTACAAAACTTGCAAAAAAAGAAGTTATCGCCTTTGCGCATCTTTTTTTAGCGGTGAGTAATAAAGTTTTAATATAAATATTTCAAATCGAATATAGATTTATATATTTTTTTATATAGTTAATATGCATGGGAATTGTTACATGCTTGTCTATGGTGGTTCGTTTTCCTCAAGATTTTCCGATTTTCTGGCTTCAAGTTATGATGTGTGCTACGGCCATAATTATTAGCATTTTTGCATTCAGTACTTGGTTCTATAATTCTAACATAGCAAGGACACGTCTTGAAGTTCGAATTTATGTAATTATATGAAAATTTATGTAATGTATTAAATAAAAACTAATTCAAAATAATTTCATTTAGACCATCATTGTTCAATGGATCCTTGTTGTATTCGACTTCATTGCGTGTTTAGTTTGCTTCAACATTTTTTGTTATGGTACAATCTATGATGGCTTCGACGAAAATATTTTTACGTACCAAAAATACTCAATGCTTATTGGATGCATTTATTTGGGTATAATAATCTGCATACTTTTGGCCATTTTTACCGCATATCTGACAAAAATTGCTCTGCAGAAAAAGAGAAGAATGGATCGCGCATGCCGTCGTAGTCTTCTTCGTAGAAACAATAGCAATGCGAGTAGTCACAGTAGTTTTAACGACACAACTCGTTATGCGAGACATCGTTAAAGGATACATGTGTTCATACACTCAAAAGTATATAAGTTTTTATTTAAAATCATTTAAAAGCAGTTTTACAAAAGACACATTTCATTCAATATTATATAAAAACTGTTGAGAACAAATCTATATATACATATTAAAAAATTTTAAATTGTTTTATAAAAAATATTAACATACATATGTATAAATGCATACATATATGTACATTGTGCTTACTTATATTGCTAAGTTGTACAAAAAAAGTTTTAGGGTTTTAATAAATTTGGTACACAATTTTAAGACAAATGCTTTCTACATATTCTTGATATATATTCAACTTATTAATAATTGTAATGTTATATTATTTGAGTAAAAGTTTATGATGTAAATTAAAAAATGTACTTATTTCAAATTAAATAATTTAAATGCCACGGTAGGATCGATGGGCCAAAAATGCACTGATAAAGTAGAGTACGCAGTTTACAAGACCCATGACAGCTGCAGCCATGTAAGCATCATAGTGGTGATAGCCCTTGAATCGGGAATCGCTGAGTGCAATAATAAAGTTCAGAGAGCTGGCAAGCAATAGAATTGCAGCAACGCTATGATATATTAACTCCTGCAAAATATATAATGTTTTATTGTAAAAATGTTCAAATTTATACTTATGTTTTATATAAAACTCACATATATTGTTTTTGAAATAATACCGCCCGTACTTAACGAAGTTAAACATGAAAGCAGTAGACAAAATGTGCCTATCATAAAGGTGGTAGCCATCAGAAAATGGAACAAATCTGGATTTCCAGAAAACCAGACACTAGTTCTGTTGTAATACCAAGCAATAATGCCTACCACTGCGGCACCAATAAGCTATAAGATTAAGAAATTATAATGATTAAAATTGTAAATAAAAATTTCCGTTTCTATATTTGTACTCGTATAATATTCATTTATTACTATTTTTTTTGGATTAAAAAAAATATTATTATTATTAAAAACTTTATTATTCTTAAAAATATAATTACCTCACCTCAAAAATGTGGTAGGTAAATATTTTTATTTTATTTATTTGTTTTAAAATTATGCAGTTAGGTTAGGTTGGAGTGGCGGCCTCGTGCCCTAAACCCACATTGAACATACGCATATTTAAAGGATTTCAAAAGCAACTGTAGTGGTCAGCATACGAACAACGCTAAATGGCACGATGCTCTCAATCAAATCAAATTTTATAAACTTGAAGAAGTGCCTAATTTCACTGAATAACAGCTCTATCAGGTCGTTGAAAAAGAGACCCGAAGATTTTGAATCTTTTTTTATCCAATGATGAATACTGAAACATGTCATGGAATACAGTTTTCTACTTATCCGCAGATGGATTTAGGATTAGTGTAGAGTAGACCCAGACTCATAGCATGTCTAGTACGCAGTGACCTATCAGCACGTATATCATAGTGCTGACTAAATTACACTTTAGTTGAAGCAAGTCGATCTTGAGATGTGACACAAGTTTTTGTTTTTATTTAATAAAATTATGCAGTAAATATTAAATTGTTTCCGTAGAAAGTGAGGTAGTGAAAGATTTTATATGTAAAGTGAGATACAAATTAAGAATAATCCCCAAGTTAGATTAAGAACGCACGTGTTGTTAGCACTTCCACCCGAAGATATCTAACAAAAATACCCAAGACATACTTAAATTATAGTCGGTTGGTACATATATGAAAAAAGTGGAGACAGACTGTAGACTAGTCTTGTGCAACACTACGGTAATGCGGTAGTAATGGTAGTGCTGGAAATGTTAAAAATCTAGTTGAGCAGATGTATTTTTATAATTGATCAGCAAACGCTTGTAATTTTATCCAACATGATTGGATTATAGTAGGCGTTACTAACTACTGTAGCGACTGTTGCTTAATCATGGATTCGGTATAATATGTACAGTGCTGTATCTGTGATAATGAATATCGATGTCCAATATAATTACGCGAAACCCGGGTGCGGCTTGAGAGACTGAAGCATAATATGAATAGAAGAACTAAATTTATACATATGTATATTCTCTATTAATAATACATTATGACTGTGTTCTAATTATTTAGTTATCTTTTGTTAAATTATAATAAATAATATGCTAAAATATGCTAAAAAACTTTTATTTTCAAACTTTTTAAATTATACTAATTTAAAAAATATTAAAATGAGATAATAATTATTGAAGTTATTAGAAATTTTAATAAAGAGGATTAAATTTGTATTTATATAAAATTTCTTACCAATTGAAAGAGTTTCAATAAGCCTGGGAACGATTTAAGGTAACCCGTATTAAGTACAATATACGAAGTATTGGTAGTGCTGGTAGTTGTTCTGGTAATTGTTACGGAGTGAGACATTTTGACTGGCTAAATAAATTCTTTGGTGGAATACAAATTGGTGGTATAAAGCTGAAATATAAAATAAAATATATTATAATAATTAATTAAGAAAGTTAAGTAAATTTTTTATATGTGAATAATTAAATATTAAATATAAGAATAATTAAATATTAATAATTAAATATAACAAAATTAGGCATGTTTAAGAAAGAAAAATTATATATTAAAATTATAAACAACATATAAATATAAAATATTAATACAATTTTTAGGAATAAAAATGAATAATTTAACTCTAGTTTGGATTTCTAATAGAGAATGCTATACTGAATTTTACCAAAGAACAACAGTGATGCAATAGTAAAATACTTTATAAAATAGGTTTTTGCTATTTTGGACGGTATATAATTTGTTATTGTTTATCAATCTTACTAATATAATAAATATAATCCATAACTACTAAAATGATGTACTGCTGTATATAATCTTCTTCTTAGTGTCCGTTCCTCCCAGTCGGATCGCAATGATTCTCTTAAACCTCACTCTGTCAGCTGCTTCTCCGCATATATCGTTCTATGTGTAGTGTGCTTCCGTCATCTCTCTTCCAATTGTCCTTCTCTAAGTTAAAGCCAGTACACCAGGGCGTCTGCTAACTTGTGGGTTCCACGTCAAAGCTTGTCACTGAATGTATTTACTTATTTAAATAATGTAAAATTGTTGCACTGAAGTAAGTAGTTCTCAAACAGTTCAGGGAATCACAGTAACACATTTAAATAATATATTGAAATTCATTTTAAAACCACAAGAACAACGAGTGCTACTGGCCGGATATCAATGTTCTAACGTTTGGTTAAGCTATATTTCTCTATTATGAGCGAAGTAAAGTTTTGTAGTGTGTTATATTGTTTGCTGAAGTAAGTAGTTCTTAAGCAGGTCAGGGACCGACAGTAACACATTCACACAATGTATTGTAATTTACAACGTGTGCTACTGACCGGATATCAATATTCTAACGTTTGGTTAAGCCATAGAGTAACTATCAAGAGCGAAGTAAAATTTTATAGAGTGACATGGTGCCAGAATAGATTTCATAATTTTTTAATTTTTAAATATATATATATGAACCATAACTCAAAAGTTTGTATTATTTTCTATGAGTAAGAAGTACATATATACAGAAAAATTTTTAAAAATTATTTACAGAAATGATATTATATACATTATTATTGTGAGGGAATGTGTCACTGCGACAGTCGAGTTTATTGTACCCAATTTTGGGTATCGAGTAGATCTCTAAGCCCTTTTGCGTCAATAAAAAGTAGTATAGAACCTACTTTACAGAGTTTTATTGCTTCTTCCGTAAGAATATATATTCTCAAGACTCTATTCCGTATGTGCATTAGCGCAGGGCATTATAACAGCACATGTGTGGAAGACTCTTCATTCTCTTCACAGAATCTACAGTTTGCATTCATATGTATAACCAGTCTCGTAAGGTGGTATTTTAATTTACAGTGCTCTATTAGGATTCCTGTGTATTCTATTAGGATTCCTGTGTATTCTATATAAATCAATAAACAAAGTTTCAAAACTTCGGCAATATTAATTTAATATAAGATACAAGTTTCAAAAGATCATAGCATTATTAAAAACCAATCGTAGCCCAATGCCATTTGAAATGTTTTGTAGTTTGTGTTAAAGTAAACAGTCCATCCTTTTTACTTTTTATGTATTTTCTTCTATTTTAAATAGAACTACGCAATAAATACTTCAGAAATTACGTAATACCAGTACAGAGCGTAGAAAAATAAAAAAACCAAAAATCTCACAGATATATTTTAAATTCCTGAAACGTTATATGCCAATTCTCAAACATTTGAACATTGAAGCATTTAATGAAGAAGTTATACATGCGTTCGCAGAAGCTCAATCAACACGTACCTATTGACATAAAACTTAGCCAAGCCAGCAAGAATAACAAATTCGGGGAGCGCACCTTCATTAGCCATGCATTGCCAAAATTCTATTCCCAAAGCATATATGATTTTTTATACTTTTGTGATTTCTAATTTAATTTGAATTTCATTGTTTGTTTAAAAAAATCTTATTTTTATTTTGATTTGCTCTACTCAAATGTCGTCATCGACGAAATATTTTTTATTTGTATATCATTTTGAATTCCTATAAATTCAAACAAATATAAGCGAGCAATTTAAGACCGGAATATATGTTTACAATATACATATATACAATACATATATATACTTTACGTGAATACAAGTTTTTTAAATCGTATATGAGATTAGATGTAGAAATAATTTAATTCAAGCATATATCAGAATATATTCATATATATTATATAAATTTGTGTTAAACGAACACACATCTCTACCCATTCATGTAACTTTTATCAGCGTTTCAAAATATTCTGTTTGAAATTTTGTTACAATTCATATTATTACTATATATTATTAAAATATTAATTATATTTTTTAAGTGTTAAAAGAATTACATTTCCTAATTCAGAAGCACTGCAAGTTGGTTACAAAATTGTTTAATAAGCTTCATCAGATACGTCCCACATAGCGTATGATTGTTGTAACATTTTATATGAAAACACACAAAGGAAAAAATTTTTACTAAATTTATTTATATATTATTTATATATAACAATAATTTTTATTTTTATAATAATTTATTGTTTTAATGATATGATTTGAAACATAACATATTAATGAATATATAATGTATAAATATATAAATTATGTGTAAATAAAATAATATATAAAAATAAATAATTTTATTTTTTAACTAGCTAATTAGTCAATAGTTAAATAATACATTTTTTGAAAAATTTTTTAATTTTTTTAAAAGATTTTATTTTTGAGAAACATATTATTAATATATATATTATTTTATATTTGTATTTATTTTAATTTGTATGTTATACACTATATATACATTTATATATATTTTCATATTCAAATCATATGTTTTTAATTTAAATTTAAAAATAATTAAAATCTTAAAAAAGAATTAACAATTGTTTTCACAATTATTGTTTTATTGAAAATACATTTAATTTTTTATTATTTATAATACAATTATATTTATTATTAATAATGTATTAATATATTATTATTAATAATTATATAAAAATATTAAATATATTAATAATAACATATTAATAATATCGTTATTATATTATTACTCTTATTATTTTAATATATTAATAAATTATTATTAATAATATTTATTAATAATATTATTTAGTTAATAATATATTCAATCATCATTATTTATTAATAATATATTAAAATATATTTTAATAAATATAAAATAATTATTATAATAATAAATATTATTATATATATATATATTATACTAATAATTTACTAGTATGTATTTATTATTTGAAAATATATTAATCATATTAATTACTATTATTCCAAATTGAGAGTTTTTATCAATTTTTTTTTGTTTATTTATAAACAACTTTAGACTTTTATTATAAATTTTAATAATAATAATAATATAAAAATTATTATGTACTTATGTTATTTATTTATAACAATTAATTGTTATTAGGTCGTTTAATTAACACATAAAAATAATACAAAAATTACATTTATCAATTTAATTTAATTTATTAATTTTAATAAATATTTTTAATTATATTAAATATTTTTTTGTTTTCTTTTCAAATTTTCTTATGTAGTGTACATGTTCCGAAATATCTAAATTTTTTTTTTAAAAATAAATTTAAATATAATTAAAAATATTCAGCACAAATTAATAAATGTAATTTTTTTATCATTTTTATGCTTTAAATAAACAACCTATATATTATATTATTGCACTTGCTGTGTTACTAATTAGAATTGACGCATAAACTACTGCTATATAAATTAACTTAATCATTGTAAGTTAATTTTTTTGTCCAATAAATAATCTTTTAATTTTAATAAATGACATCATTACTACAATTCATAATAGTATTATATTTATATTTGCAATATCAATGCAATTAAAATCAATGACGTCAACCTCAAGCAATGCACCATCAAGATTTATACACTTATGTTGGATGACTTTGAGTTGGATGACTTTACCTTGAGTTCGCACATATTTGTGTATTACACACTATATGTGCTATGTATATTAAAATATATTCATGACCCATTTATTGATATGAAACATTTCAGTTATACAAAAAAAAAATAAAAAAACAACATATGGCACTAAGAAATACTCCTATTTACATGTTAACACATGAAATAATGTGTTTTTAATCAGTTTGATAAATGGTTTTTATATAATATACTTTTTTGTATTATAAACAAATATGAAGTAAATAAAAATATAAGATTTAAAGAAATTACACAGATGTGTAGTACCAGATTTAAATTCAAAAATTAAAAATACACAAATACAAAACAAAATAATGGGGTTCTGGGCTTTCAATGAAGCAAAGCACTAATTTATTATATATTAAAATGTAATGATGGAATGGAAAAGTTTATAATAATGGTACTGCAAAACATTTAATATATGGTTTTTTTTTTGTTTAAGGTAAGGATTTGATTTTATCTCTCTATTCTGTTCCCGACCTAAAAGCAATTATTGTCATTTTTCCAAATAATAAATTATAATATCATCTAAATATTGATTCCGCATATCGATAAAATGTAAAAGAGTAACTATCGAATATGAAATTAAATATAAAGTTTACTATGTAATAAGATTACCCTACAGAACTATTAATTACTGTTGTCCGAAGTCTAACTATATTCTCAAAGAACATTAATTAAGTAAAGTAAACCCAGAATACACGCAACACACATAATTTCTAAAAAACCTAAGCACAAGAAAGGAGAAAATATCAAAAACAAGAACCTTGGGGTAAAGTAATGGACCCATAGGCGACATAAGTGGAAGCTGACCTTTATAATCACTCTTAAACCTATATAAAAAAATATTAAATTACTCATAGGCGAGGTAAGTGGAGTCTGACATACAGACTAACCCTTAAACCTATATAAAATAATTTTAAGTGACTATATAATCAAAGAATCTATAAGCACAATGATAGAGTATTCATATATAGCCTCTCTATATATATATAAATAATAAATAAATATAAATATATATCTTTATTTATTCAATGTATAACATTATTATTTAAATTATAAAAAATTTACTCTACAAATTGATTGAATTCTTTTATTTTTGAGTCAATTTTGTTATGACACAATTTACTTAATTAAAAATATCTGAGCTGTGCTTTTTTCCTTATATATGATGAATGCATGAATTCTATGCAATTTTTTTAAATCTTATCTATAAATAAAGAAATGTTGAGATAAGAGAACATCAAATATTTAAATGTTTAATAGATGATGGAATGTGATTTTGTTGTATATTTTTACAATTTTCAAAAAAAATTATAGCTGCAAAATTTTTTCTATATATATATTTTATATATAAACAATAGGAATAAAGAAAAAACTAATTAGAAATTTTAAATTTCTACATCATATATAAACAATATTTATATATACTTGCAAAAATAACGAGACGCTAATTTTTAAAAATATCTTAAAATGATCAAAACTACTAAAAGTGGGTGTGGTTTTTATGTCATATTAATTAGTATTCTAAATTTTTTATAAATTCTGAATTGACTTCGAGACCAGACTTTGTAGGCGACTTTTTAATGAAAAAAAATTATAAATTCGTAATCAACAAAAACAAAAAAAATTAATATTTATGTAAAAAAAAATAAAAATAATTTCCGTTCACTAAAATAAAGCATTTACATTTAACCAAAGAAAAAAACTAAATTAAACAATATAAATGATAAATGTGCTTCAAAAAAATTAAAGCAGAACATGTATATAATCTATTTATATATATAAGTGTGTAATTTGTGTTAATTATGTTTTTGATGTAAAATTCAAGTTCAAGAATGTTGTAAAAATATAGTAAATGTATATTGCGAATTCAAAATCAAACTGGTTTTTTTCTTTTAAATATTACTTTTCATTAACAAAAATGATCTCATCTATGAGATAATACTTTTACAACATTTTTATAATATTTCAAAATTTTTAGTAATATAATAAACATATATTATCATAACATAAAATCATTATAACGTCATTTCCATAGTAATTTTAAAGAAAACTAAGAATGATTAAATTATAAATGCATCAAATATTTAATGGAAATATTGTTAATTGTTACTAAATTAATTATTGTTGTTTAAAAAAATTAAAACAATTTAGATTCTTGACTTTTATCACTCGACACAAACAATTGTAATATTGTTCATCACGAAGTAAATATTATTGAGTCACCGATTCCTTGTATTATTTGCATGTGTCATAATTTCTCATTTATACATTTAGAAGGTTTTAACTGCAAAGTTTTTCTAAATTAAACCACCATATCTTAAAGATTAAAACATTTCTTATTTAAACTATTTTTAAACCACAAAAAAACCACAAACTGTACTGTAGGTTATTAAATCTTAAGTATATAGGATTAAATACAAATGCTATGTAGAATAGGACTAATCTGGTTGCGTTGCATAAAAATATGAAAAAATAATAATGAAATATATTGTATATAAAATTAAGAAAAAATTCATTATTTAAATATTGAGTTTATTTCGAACATGCTTTGTTTTATATAGACTCAGTGAAAGGAAACTTTTGGTATAATGTCACAGTTATAGCAGAAGGCGGGTTTCTGGTGTTAATGACGTTTTGATATAGTTTCAACCTATCAACTTATTTTAAATTTACGTCAAATTTTCAGTATCTTTTTTTAAATAAATAATGTCATATTCGATGGACAAATCTATGGGAGCTTTCTCATACTCAAGATTTCCTTTTAGTAAAGCCTAAACGCACGATATTGATTTATAACACTGTATACTGTTGTTAGGCTAATAAAGTTACCCTCAAATTAACAACTATTTTATATTATTTTACAACAATTTTTACAGATTCCCCTAAACATAATCATTTAGGCCACAAAAGCAAAAAATTACAGATTGATATACCAAATCTAGATTCGCCAATCAAAAACGACATAAATCATATATATTAAAAAAAATGTTATACTATATTTAAGTTATTATGTATATTAATTTTATATAATCCTATTGTTAACATTGCTTAACTTAACACAAATATTTGAGTTTAAGGCTAACAGCTCCGAAGAAGTGAAAAATAAAAAAGTGCCAGCTTATATTAAAAACAACCAGTGATAAACTGAACTGAAATATATCTATACATTACAATGAGCAAAAACCAAGGTGTAAGCTAACAGCACCAAAAAAAAAGAATTAAAAATTATAAGAACCAGTGATAAACTTAACTCGAATTCTTGTATAAGTTATTATAAGCACAATATAAAGTGCACGCTAATAGCAGAAACATGAAAAATTACCAGTTAACAGCACCAAAACAAAACGCAAAAATATAGAAAAACAGAAAATAACTTAAAATAACTAAATGAATTGAAATATATTAAAATTACAATTGTTTTTTTTTTAATTTAGAACACAATATTTTATTTTCGATCATAGTGCTGTGGCGTAAATAGTAATCCTATGACCATTCCTATCAACAACAGAAAAATTAATTAAATTAATTAAAAATATGATTCATTATTGATCATAGTGCAGTGACATAAATAGTAATCCTATGACCTTTCCTACCAACAACAACAAAATTAAAAATAATGTAAAATAATTAATTTATAATCGAAATTGCTCTTTTACTCGTGTATTTAATGTTATAATCAATCATACAAAATAACAAAAACAAAATTAAAATAAACCATTACTACTATTATAGATTTATAGATATAACAACTTAAAATTAAAAAAAAATATACAGATGAATTTATAATTTGTGTATGGAATGAGATCATCATCCAAAAGTAAAAAAAAACATGCCAAAATAATGAAAAAAATTTCAGAAATTATTTAAAACACAATATGTACAGAATATACTACACATATGTGTCTATATATATAGAAAGTAATGTAAACTATGAATAGAATTATATTGGAACACCCATTGCCAAATTGACCAAGAGTCCGTCCTTTTGTTAAAAATTTTGATCGTTATACTTGAACGCCGACATTACAGTAGAACAGCGAACAATTTCGAATTGTTTTTAAAACCACACCCACACAAAATTTAAAAAAAAAAAATATTTCACAAAATTTTATATACATATATATATTAATAAAAATTTAAGTACAAACTGTAATAAGAAAAATTGGGAAAATGTTTTTATCTTCATTAAAAAATTTATATATTTTTCTTCGATTACTTTTGCAGACACATTTAAGACAAAAATTTAGGTAAGAGAGAGGAAGGAGTATGGTTGTAGAGGAATTTAAAAATTTAATATAAAAAAATATTTTAAAAACATATTTAATATATATAATAATTTTTTTTAAAGCACAGCGCACATTTTTTTTAAATATTAAATAAATTTTTTTTTTTCAAAATATTGAATAAATTTTTTTTCTTAATATTAAATAAATTATTTGTTTTTTTCTTGTTATATTATGTATAAAATATCTAAAACCGGCGTTTTGTCAACAAGCATGCAATTATTTAAACATTTATTATTTTATCTAAAACTTTTTTTCTATAAATAATTTAAACACTTTGTTAATACAAAATAAAAAAAAACTGCTTACTTTACTTTAACAGCAAAGCTCAACTATTTACTCGCTTGCGCCTTTTCACGACAACGTTTAAAAAGAAACTGAAATCGAAATTTTGGCCGTTCGGCGAATCTTTAGTACAAATTTTACTTTTACAGCACTACAGCAAACCAGCAATGAGGTGACGTCATAATAGGGTAACAAGTTGCAACTACGCCATTGAACAACAAAACATTTTGAACAAATGATGAAGAACAGTCTGAGCTGTTCGTTCGTTTATGTGTTAGTAAGTAGTAGTATTTGTTTGTACGAAAAATTGTTAAAACACGCCACGCATACGTACATATGTATGTGTGTTTGTTATTAGCTTATAAATGCTTTGAATGAAGGGCCTATTCGAGTCACACGAACTTTGCGTGAATGAACTTCTTCTGTTTACAACTGAACTTTGTTAACAAATGGTTTACTTTCTGCATTTTGCTTCCAACATTGTTTGCTGATTAATTTATAGAAACAAACAAAAACAATACATAAGGAATTTTCTAATCACAATTTTATTAACTTACTGCAAATAATTATTTGTTTTTGTTTTTGTTATTATGTCAACTGTTTTGATAATTCTTGCAAATTTCTTATGACTCACGTAATTCGGTTCGTGTATTCGTACATCTTACATACATCCATACATACACGCATATATTGAGTGTATTTGGAGTAAACACAGAAAGAGAGAAGACAAGAATTAATGCAATTCTACCATAACGAGTACAGGGTGTGAATAAAATGACTTGTTATGATATAATTTTTTATTTTCAGTATATGGAGGATGGGTTTTCAATACAAAAAAAAATCGAGGTCAAAAAAACATTTTAGTAATTTCAATGGAATTTAAATAAATGAATATTTACACGTTCAAAATACAATAAAAATGCAGTTATGACAGCAACAATTTTTTTTTAATTAAACTCGTATAAGGCAATGTGTTTTATCATCGTTTTTAATTCTTAACAATTTATAAATAATTAATAATGCAATTTATCTCATAACCTTGTAAGTCTAACAGAAAATGCAGCTGTATGCTTTAAGAAACTCCATGCTTTGATCCTAACACACCCAACATTAAACATCCGTCTTTTGTCAGCGATTCTCTTAATAATATAAAATCACATGGTAATACCAACGAAATAGTTTAACAGTCAGTAATTTAATTTCTCTTTCCACAAACGAGAAATTATTAAAAATAATGCATACCTCTAGAAAATTTCGCACACTTCCCTCATGAGCGATTCTAATACAATGGTAATATCAACTTATTAGTTTGACAGCCAGTAGTGCGTTTCTCTTTCCAGATACTAAAAAATAGAAAATATTTACTTTACAAGCCCTTGGCCACGTTGAGTAGCCTCCGTCAGCCAGCCCGATTAGTTGGTTGCAGGTACCAGTTGGTACTATCGAGCACCCCCAAATCGTTGGTCACCTGGTTCTTCCAAAGAATTTGCGGACGTCCTCTAACGCGTTTTCCAGCTGCAGATGCCGAATAAAACACCTTTCTAGCCGGAGTACTTTCTTCCATTCACACGACATGGCCAAACCAACGAAGCCGCTGAATTTTAATGCACTTAATTATGTCAATGTCGCGGTATAGCTCATACCGTAGATCTTCTGAAGAATTTTTCTCTCAAATACTCCTAACATCTACTCAACGCTGTTGGTAATTGTCCAAGCTTCTGCACCATACAGCAGGACAGGCATGACAAGTAATTTGTAGAGCGTGATTTCTCCCTCTGCGCTCATGAGCAGTTCGCAGTACTTACACTTACTTTTTTCAAAAACAACTCATCCTGACTTTATACACCTATAGGTATCCAATCTGTCTGTTATATATTTAGCTATCAATTAAAGGACCTTGACTTATATATCAGGAACATTACTAATGCTGCACTACTCTCCACACCATAGCACTTACCATTTTTCTTAATATCCAAGTCGTTTTTAACAACTTATACTCAAACGCTATCATAAAATCTCTCAATTCTTAACCTATTCACAGTTTTGATCAAATTTCTTGAAGTACTATTCAAAATCATGATTATTACCTCGACATCGAAAGGGTTACGTTTTGGAGGACTAATACAGCGTTATAGCTGCAATCCGAACGACTATCAAATATCTGAATTTCATCCTTTACTCTAAATTTAGCTGGAAGGCTAATTACGTCAAAACAAGTTGGTAAGCGCTTCGACAACATTCTTAATAGTTTGAGAATACCAGATTCATCTCAATGCGTTGGTTCAGGTTGCCAGTGTCCAACTTATAAGTGTACCAGAATACAGAGGCATCATAGGCAAGGTTGACGAACTTACTAAAGCATGCAAGCTACGTTCTGAAATACACTCAAATTAAAACATATAGCAATAATTGAAAAAGCCTGGGTAGGTAAACAGTCAGATTTGTCAGATTTCAACACTAACTAAAGCGGAACCTTTAGTACTACAGTACTACACTATCGGTGCTGACAAGCTATAGCGTGTTAGGAGATGTATTAAGACTGGGTCTACCGTACAATGACTTTTGTCGAGGTTGCGGCTCCGCTGATGTAGAGGAAAATGTTTGACCTTATGCCTCTGTGCTCACTCCATTGATTAAGGATGAGTTTTGTTACAATGTCGGATTCAGATGACAGATTCTTTCTCCATCTGTCTTTGTATTTTCATCTATAATCAGCATTCATATACCTTTGCTTAGAATTGAATGTTGTTTTATATTAATAACTGTGAAAACTTCATTTTTGTGGCTTCTCTAACCTAATAACCTTTATGTTTAGAAATAGGCTTCTTGGAAACTCATTTAATAATTTCTATAACAAATAAGAATTCAATCATCCAAGCTATTAAGTGTTTTATTGAAACAAAAGTGAGATTGATTCATAAACCACTGATGCTCTAAGATATGTTCTTTTTTATTAAGTCTTATAGACCGTTGCAAAAATAATGAAACTAAATCAAAATATTCCTCTGCTAGTTTAAAATCAATGCCCTAAATTCATAATATATATTAATATATATATATATATATATTTTGATTACTAGATAACACGGAGAAGTTGTTCCCCCGTACAATTCATAATAATATATATATATATATATATAATATATTTTATGTTTGATAGGCTTCGAAATCATTTTGGATTTAAACAAATAATTCAATCATCCAAGTATTAATTTTATTGAAACAAAAGTAGATTGATTATGAACCACTAATGCTACTAAGATATGTTTTTTTTATTATCATTGATTTCAAAACTATGAACATCATATATTCCTCTGCTAGTTTAAAATCGATGCCATACTTCCTCTTAATATTGATTAGTAATTTAGTTCTATGGTTCTAAAAACATATAGATATTATATGTTTAACATGAAACTTAATGATTTTACGTGAACTCTATATGTAGTTTGGGTTTAACATTTTAATCAAAATTATTTTTGCAAAAAATAATAAATATGTTAATGTTTTTTTTTGTATAAATGCAGTTTATTTTGAATTATTGCTTCATTTATAAAAACTAAATTTCGATTATATATTTAAAGCATTCGATAAGGAAACGTTGTTTAGTGTTAACTAAGTTTTCATTATATTGACAATAAGCTCTTAATATATAATCATAATTAAATTTTTTATGTATGTATTATACATAAATTGTGTTTATTATTAAAGCATTTTAATAGGATTACTACAATTCTAATACAAATTTTTAAGTTACTTTTTATATATGACACGAGACTTCGTTTCGTACGCAGACTTATTCCTTCAAAAATGATACATTTTTTGTGAACCAAAAATTATACATATATTTAAAATTTTATTAAAAGAACAAAATGTTATTTGACCAGTGCTTGGTAATAAAAAAAAAACTTACGAGAAAAAAACTTTCTTTTAATTCTAATCCAACCCATCATCCATGAAATCGGGTTTCTTCGGTTCAGGTTTCTTAGGTTCCGCAGTAGGTGTTTCTTTACCGTTTGCTCCGTCATCTGGAGCTCCGCCTGGGAAACCGGGAAAACCACCAAAGTTTGGAAATCCACCAGAACCACCTTTCATGCCTTGTATCATAGCAATTAGTTTAGCAATTTTGGGATTTGATTTATATTTCTCGATGTTTGCTGGATTTTTCATTATGTCCTCAAACGCAGCTTGAACTTCTGGATCCTTTGCGTTCGACATGAAATCATTAAACTGTGAACCATTGAAAGATGGTACACCACCTGGGAACCCGCCTGGAAAACCGCCAGCAAAACCATCACCAGCATTACCACTTTTAGCTTGTTCTTTCTGTTGACGTTCTCTTCGTTTCTGTGCAGCACGCACTGCTGCTTCTTGAACTTTACGAGCTTTTTCTAACTTCTTGCGCTCTAACTTAACGCGATGTTGTTCAATTTTCTTGGCATTTGGTGTTACTTCACTTAACCAATCATTAGCTTCTTCGTCGAAATCTAATTTACAAGCTTGACGCAAATCTTTTGCAGCACTTTCCCAATTACCTAACAAACGATGTGCTCTACCACGGAACTTATAAGCAGCTGCTGAATCACAATTTAACTCCAATGCTTTGTCGCAATCATGAATGCAAGCAACCGGCTTTTGCAACTTTAAGAATGCTTGACCGCGTTTAGCATGGAAAAGTGCATTTCCAGGATTTAACTCAATAGCTTTTGTGTAAAGATCAATTGCTTCTTGGAATTTCTGCTCAGAATAAGCTTGGGCGGCCTCAGAACGTATGGCACTAGCTTGATCAACCTCCTCTTCAGTTGGTGTTTTGCTAGAATCTCCCATAATTAAATCTGTAACATCATCTCCTTCGATAACTCCTAAATTAAAAAAAAAACAAAAATAAATATTATCGTAAAAATTGTATATAATATATAGTTAAATCTGAATATGTATATGTGTAAATATATTAAAATATTTCTATATATATTATAAAACGACACACAATCTTATTAAATATAAATAATAAATACATTCTAAATATAGACAAAAACTGACCCCTGAATTAAAACTGAACGACTTTTGACTATGCACTTAATCAATTAACATATTTAATTAAAAAAAAATAAATAAAGGAACAAAAAGAACAGCTACAATATAAAATTTTTTTTTCGTTACACTGTTTATACATTATATTGATTTCTACTATTTAAATAGTTTATCGTTTTTAATTTTATTACCTTCATTATCCAATTCAATTTCCGATTCAGAATCTGAGGCAATTTCTTCAACTTCAGAATCAGATTCTTCACTGACCTTGGGATCCGATTCAGCACTACCGGCAAATGGGCATTTTCTATTTTAAGAAAAGAGATAGAACTATATATGAATATTAATGAAAGCAAAATTGATTTACCCTCCAGTAGGCATCTTAAAATCACCATCAGGAATTTTTCCACCGAAGCCCTCAATAAATTTTTTAACAAAATCTAATTGTGGTACATTTAGTATTGTAGGATTTGCTTGCACAAATTCAATGAAGCCCTTAAGTTTCTTTATATCTTCAGCGCCGGGCATAGCCATTTTGAAACACGATTAAAGCAATAATAATTGAAAAAGTATTTGCTTAAAACGTACGAACACAATTCAATTAATTTAATTGTTTTGTGAAATCTTATTTGTTTTTAAATTTAATTAATATTTTTTCGAAACGCAAAGTATTATTTTTATTGATTTAAACTCACGCCTAAATCCCGAACCTTCTATGCAAACTCTCAATTAAGCACTATGAAAAACGTTCAATTAAAAAGGAACAGAAAAAATGATAAAATATTTGACAGTTACATAGTTGCAATTTTTAAATATTGAAGCTAGAAATTGTTTATACTTTTGCATGGATGATGGTATCAATAACAATGACCGTGTGCGAGTTCGAGTAAGTTGAGGTAAAGTTATTTGAAATTTCCTAGGGATTTTTTGCACTACACTTATGTAAATATTTATTTAATGATTTATTGCACTTATTTATTATTTTTGGTTAAAAATTTTCAAATTTATTTATTAAACATCTTATGAAATTTTCACAATGATATTACATAATTTACATAATTTTTATCTAATTTACCTTACCCCAAATTCTGGTAAACATCAACATTCGCTACCATACCGATATAATTTACTATTTTCCTCAATTTACTAGAACTTACGCACGATCTAAGGTCGTGTGCGAGTTAGGCTAAGTTGCGTTCTAAATGAGGGAAATACTAAGTTGTGCCGATAATGTAGTGATGTGTCGATACGTGTTGATAAATGGCTAAATGTGTGCAGTGTAAAAAATCCCAAAAAATCTCCCATTTGGTTTAGCATCAACTTAGCCTAACTCGCACACGTCCTAAATATGTAGTAGTTTTAATTGCAATAGTTATTTCCTATATGTAGTTGTTTTAAAAAAGATCTCGATTGATTATATACAAAATATCTTGAAATTCTTATTTATATTCTTTTTAATTTTGTTTTTATTTTAGGGACGTGTGCGAGATAGGCTAAGGTCGTGTGCGAGTTAGGCTAAGTTGCGTTCTAAATGAGGGAAATACTAAGTTGTGCCGATAATGTAGTGATGTGTCGATACGTGTTGATAAATGGCAAAATGTGTGCAGTGCAAAAAATCCCAAAAAATCTCCCATTTGGTTTAGCATCAACTTAGCCTAACTCGCGCACGACCTAAGTTGCGTTCTAAATGAGGGAAATTCTAAGTTGTGCCGATAATGTAGTGTCGATACGTGTTGATAAATGGCTAAATGTGTGCAGTGCAAAAAATCCCAATTTTTAAACGAAATCTCCTATTTCGTTTAGCATCAACTTAACCTAATTCGCACGCGTCCTAGATTTTATAACAGTGATATATCATTACATTTTGTGCGAAATTTTTTTTTCATCCAGGAAAACTATATATATAGATTATATATAAATCTGTCTGATTTTTATATAAAATTTAATACGATTTTAACTTATTTCATAACAAAGTGATCCGTAATATTGCATTCACACTGTCTCATTTCGGCACTTGCTCATTTATATTAAGAAGTGAATGTTCACATTATAATGAGCTCATTTATGCAGCTCATAAAACTTTTGTACTTTTTTATAAACTTCACTTAATAATATATCACATAAAAAAATTGAATATATAGGCCGTTTGCGAGTTCTAGTAAATTGAGGGATATAGTAAATTATGTCGTGTTGGTATTTACCAAAATTTCGAGTAGGGTAAATTAGATAAAAATTAGGTAAACTAGGTAATATCATTTTGAAAATTTTATTAGATAATAAATAAATTTGAAAACTTTTAACCAAAAATAATAAATAAGTGCAATAAAAAAATAAGTAAATATTTACCTAAAGTACAATCTAAAAAATCCCTAGGAAAGTTTAATTTACTTTACCAATTTATTGTTTTAATGACCAAAAAATTTTTTAAAAATAATTTTGTTTGACTAATTAGCCCGTAAAAAAAAAGAAAATTATTTATTTTGCCTCAATTTACTTGAACTCGCACACGACTTACACAGCATTTAAAAAAATTAGCACCCTGTAAAAATTGACAAAATGTTTTAACAATGTGCGGTTTTAAACTAAGCAGCAATTTACAATAAATAAAATAAATGCCGGCATGTAAAATACTTAAAAACAAAATTATTACAGAATTAATTAAATGTTTCCATACAAGTAAAATGGCTTGCAGTCGTTATGAATATGTAAAAACCTATGAACGGGAGGACAACATTCTACCAAATGTATGGATCGTTGTACGCGTTGATGGCAAAGGATTTCATAAGTTTTCCAAAATACACAACTTTGAAAAGCCAAATGACGAAAATGGTATTTAGTTAAGCTAAATATTTTATATTAAAATAATAACATATTTCACAAATAGCACTGAATTTAATGAACTACGCTGCCATGACTGTTATGACCGAATTCCGCGACATAGTGCTCTCTTTTGGACAAAGCGATGAGTATTCTTTTGTGTTCCGAAAAGAATCGAACATTTATAATCGACGTGCTTCTAAATTGCTTTCATATGTAACAAGTCTGTTTACATCTGCTTACGTCATGAACTGGATGATGTTTTTACCAAACACGAAATTGCAGTACCCTCCTTGTTTTGATGGTCGTGTTGTGCTCTATCCCTCAGATCAAAATTTACGAGACTATTTGAGTTGGCGACAGGCTGATGTTCATATCAATAATTTATACAATACAGCTTTTTGGAATCTTGTGCAGCAAGCTGGTCTTACTGCCAGGGAAGCAGAAGCCGAATTGCGTGGTACAATTTCGTCAGATAAAAATGAATTATTGTTTTCTAAATTTGGCATCAACTATAACAATTTGCCAACCATGTTTCGCAAAGGCACAATATTACTAAGAAAACGTGTACGTACAAATCCCGATGATTGTATTGGTCAACTTATTGTGCCAATGCATGAGGATATGATACGAAACCAATTTTGGAATACGCATACTGAATTATTAGGAAAATACTTACCAGGTGAATATTTATACAATTGCAATACTACAGAAGATTTGTCTAATATACTGCTGGAAAAACAAATGGAGACACTTAAACTTAATAATATAAAGAAAGAAGAACTATAGTACAAATTAAAACAAATTTTTTTTAAAATGTTTTCACATTGAGCCAGCTCACTGTTATTTACTCCAGTGAGCCTGTTTTATATTACGGTACACACATATAAACATACACTAAAACTTATATCTGTGAATTAAAAACTAACTAGATGTCTATACTATCACTTAACTTTAGTAATCATCATCTTCGTCGTCTTTCTGCATTTGTCTATTCATAACCTCAGCACTTTGTTGTGCAGTTGCTTGTATATTTATCCACTGCTGTTGTTCTTCGCGTTCCTGTTCTTCTCTGGCTCTCGCGAAAAGTTCCTGTTGTTGGCGTAGCAGCTCTTCCTCTGGAATCCCAAGGTTTTCAAGACGAGTGCTTTGTCTTCTTCGTTTAGCTGCTACTTCTTTGCAGTCATTCAAAACAGCTTCAGCTTCTTGTTTATAATCGCGGAAACCCAAGCGATCTAACGCTTCTAATACATGCTCTGCATTTATGGTTTTTTTGTTACGCTGATTACAAACTTCATTTGATTCAGAACTTATTAAATGAATAAATTCTGTGCAACAATTTAATAACAATTCTCTGCTTTCATTAGCTACTCTCACATTAGGTACCTAAAATGCATAATTTAATATTTACAAAATGTTTTATGTCACAGTAAAATTATCTTCGAACCAATTCTTTTATAATCTTATTAATGCTGGCACGTGGTAAAGTTAATTCATCATCATCTGTTGAAGGTGGACACAGCTCATCTTGCTCAGGATTCGTCATTGAGTCGGATTTGTGGCAACGAAAACAATATTGAGGAGTGCAATGAAGAAATAGTTGACAAGTACAAACATTTTTTTATGCAAGAGTGCTGCCACATCTTTCAAACTGTCAGTGCCTTCTGTTCGGCCTCAAATTTGCACTTTAAAAACCATTTAATTAATTTTTACTTAAATTTTTATATTATATATTATAATTATTATTCTTAAAAATAAAAAATTTATTAATATTAATTTATTAATAATAAATATTAATGTTTATTAATTTATTAATAAAACAGTGCTGCCAAATCATAAGAAATTACCCTTCTTGGTTACTTTTCTTATTTCCCAACACTGTTTACTTACATAATGGGAAGTTTTTAACACTATAGTTCTGTCACTGTTCAGTCGTGTCGTGAAAATTTGGTAATTTTCTGCGGTTTGCATAACCATTAAAAATTAAAATTTACAGAATTAATTTATTTTTATATATGATTTCAGTTTTTTGCACGCCGTAAGAGTTCAGATATCGAAATGATGATGCAGCGCGCAACTCTGTTGGCTCCGTTAGCCTTGGAAGCAACAATCCAAGCGCAACAACAGCGTGGTATGGCCACATTAAAAGCCATCTCGATACGACTGAAGTCTGTTAAGAATATACAAAAAATTACGCAATCCATGAAAATGGTATCAGCTGCCAAGTACTCTCGCGCTGAGCGTGATTTAAAAGCAGCTCGTCCATATGGAATTGGTGCTCAACAGTTTTTCGAAAAAACCGAAATTAAAGCCGAGGAAACAGCTGAACCTAAAAAACTACTAATTGCCATGACCTCAGATCGTGGTCTCTGCGGTGCAGTACATACTGGTGTTGCTCGTACAATCCGAGGTGAGCTAGCCGTAGACGATAAAAATACCATGTTATTCTTGGTTGGTGATAAATCACGTTCAATCTTGTCACGTATCTATGGCAAAAATATTCTTATGGTTGCCAACGAAGTAGGACGTTTGCCACCAACTTTCTTGGATGCATCTCGTATTGCAGCTGAGGTGCTTAAAACTGGTTATGACTTCACTGAAGGCAAAATAATTTACAATAAATTTAAATCGGTAGTGTCATACCAGTGCTCTTCTATGCCAATCTATAGCGCTCCAGTTGTAACGAAATCAGAGAAGCTTACAGTTTACGATTCACTTGATTCTGAAGTCATTCAAAGCTATTTGGAATTTTCATTGGCATCACTTTTATTCTTTGCAATGAAGGAAGGTGCTTGCTCAGAGCAATCTTCACGTATGACTGCCATGGACAACGCGTCCAAGAATGCTGGTGAAATGATTGAGAAACTTACACTTACATTCAATCGTACCAGACAAGCTGTCATCACCCGTGAATTGATTGAAATCATCTCGGGTGCTGCCGCTTTAGCTTAAACAAAATCCACTTGTAGCACTGCACAGAAGCAAAATTGAAAAAGATTTGTGTAAAACATCAACGCTTCTAAACGTAAAGATAATTATAAATATTATTTAAATCCAAGAATAAATTTGTTGTTCGTACAGTAATAATAATAATTTAGCGAAAAGGTGTAATTCGATTGAGGAACGATTGTGCATATAAAACAAATAAATTCGAAAATAAATAACCAATTAAATAGGCTTTTCAATTGTGAGACTCAAATTGTTTTTATATAAATTAATTAATATTTGTTGTTTATAGCATTAAAGAAAAATATAAACTAATTTATTATACATTATATAACTATTGTTGTTGTTGTAGCAACCCCTTGGGACCTGTAAAGCAGATAAAATGCAAAGTTCACAAGACGAAGCGGAAGGGGAGGGGGAATATAGAAGGAGGAGTTGAAGTAGGGTGGATGAGAATTTTAATTTAATTCAACATTGTCCAGGCGAAGAAACCTGGTCACTTCACCTTCTTGTAACTTGATTGGAATAGGTGATCTTCAGAACACATGAGTGGGTGATCGTCAGAACAGATGAGTGGGTGATCGTCAAAACAGATGAGTGGGTGATCATCAGAACAGATGAGTGGGTGATCGTCAGAACAGATGAGTGGGTGATCGTCAGAACAGATGAGTGGGTGATCGTCAGAACAGATGAGTGGGTGATCGTCAGAACAGATCAGTGGATGATCGTCAGAACAGATGAGTGGATGATCATAAGAAGGTATGAGTGGCTTTGGGGTGTAGATCTGATTGGGATAAGTGATGGTCAGAAGAGATGAGTGGCTTTGGGATTTAGATCTGATTGGGATAGGTGATGATCAGAAGAGATGAGTGACTTTGGGGTGTAGACCTGACAGTACTGGATTACTATTCTGCTTTAAGGTTTTGCATATCTAATGTGCTTCAAATTTTGAAATCATAGTAAATTATAGTTATTGCTCCGCGGATTTCTTTGTGCCAAAAGAAACCGCAAAACTTCTGAATGAGAGAGAATTAATGACGGATCGATAGATATCATTGTGATTATCAGGAATAAGAACTCTGTATACGTTATTGTCTGGCAGGATCGAATCATTTTTATTAATAATGATTTAAAAGTATGACACCGCAGATTCAGTTTGGCGGCACTTTCAATATTAACGAAGATATAATCTTCTCAGTATCTTAAAACCAATCTTTCTGATAAAAAAAAACGACACCACACAACAGTTGTTAGTTAATTATGTATTATGTAATTTGATGTTAAATTTATTAATATATCTTAACGGATGAACTGGTAAAGGTTGGTGTCATTACCTTTTTGCTGGCAACTATATGTCCATTGGGCATAATAATAGAACGTCCTTTACCGGCATATGTAGCTTCAGAACCCACAACACAGCAAAACATAATGGAATAACATCCAATCTTGTCAAAACATTGCAAAGATCACAGCTTTGGGGATTACAGTCAGCTGCCATCGCATGTTGACTATCTTCATACAGAATTTACCTAGTTTCTTGCAAAATAACACAATCAACTGCTGCTCAAGCAATACGTCATGTACAGTTGAGCCTTCGCTTCAAAATACATTCGTTGATCCCTGTCTTGATATCATAGATATATCTGCACTTTTTACAATAGAGTTAACATCAATGATATCAAACATAAGCATGGAGTTACAGCCCAGCACACAGATGCAGTATTCTCTTCGAGACCACGGTTGCTGTGCGACGACTTCCCCGTGCAGTTGGAATTGTCGTATGCCAATTTAGATCAGGATTAGGCATGTGGTAAACAGTTACTTATCTTGCATATATACGTCAATTTTTAATTTATGCCCAAACTGTAGTTCTACACCCCTTGATGTCAACTATCTGTTCTCCTGCATCACCGCACATATAAATTTTAATTCAATCGACTTTTGGACCCACCCCATTAAAATTGTCAGGTTTTTTCGTCTTGATCCTGGTTGAATTCAATTTATATCCCCAATCCATGACAACTCCCTAACAATCCACCACAACTACCTAACAATCCACCACAACTCCCTAACAATCCCCTTCTCTCTCAGAAAGCCATTACCCATCCACATCATAACCCATGTATTCGTTAAGTAATTCAGATCCCCCCGAGCTACAAAAATAACTACAACTATTTATTAGTGTAAATAGATAACATCTGTTGGTTCAGTCGCTTTCTTTTCTTTATTAGATTTTTGTTCTTAGAGGTCCTCTAACACTTCTTCGCTATATACTTTTTAAATGCTTCTTTTGTTATTTACTTGGAGTTGCTTAAAAAAAGTTAAGGAGTTGCTGCATAAAAAATCAAATAAAATAAACGAAATGGCTTCGCGGCTTGACCACTCTTGAAACCTAACTTATTATTAAATAATAGGCTATGAATGCACTCCGACCTCTTACTATGGTCTTTTCTTCTTATACATCATAAGACATACCATTTTATCAAGGCTCAATATTAAAGAATTTCATTTTTATATTTTATCTTTCCAATCTCAGCAAATTTTCATCTGTAAAATAATAAGGCGAACGAGAGTTGCTAACAAAAGAATACTGTTTTTATATATACTCCAGTAAATGGTCGTCTTTTAAAATTCTTAATCGTATCTCATTTTTGTAAACATCACTACACACATTCACACATATAAACGTTCACTCCTCGGTTCCATTAATATTTTTTTATATGTAGAGAATCACAAATCAATACAAAAATAATCCACAGTAATACCGACATGGCAAGGAGTTAGTTGAAGTGCTAGAAGGATGGAATCCTCCTAAATTAGCTTGGAAAGCCATTTGATACAATATTTTTCAATATAATTTTTTTTTAAAAAATATTATTCTTATCAAATTCCATATCATGTAAAAAATAAATGAAACCATTTACAGTACATTAAAAAAAAGTTTTACAATATTTATTGGTTTTTCTCATTTTAAAATTCTTGTTTAAAGTTGCAGTTTACATTTTACAATTCGTCTTATACAATAATAAAAAAAAACATATATTAAAAAAATGTTTTGCATCCTAAGCAATTATAAAAACACAATATAAATGAATTGTTGTTCTTAAAAAGCAATTAAAATGATCTTTTACATAAATACAAAAATAAAGAGATACCGCGGAGGATATGGAAGAACAATATTTAAAAAAAAAATTTATAAATTTTATTGGAATTATAAAAGTGAATTTTTCTAAAAGATCTATTTAAAAATTTATATACAGTAATGTTTAAAATATATGATACAAAACATTATTGCAATTAAAATCAAATAAAAAATAAAAAGTACGCATACAAGATAAACAAGTCACAAATCCACAGGCTTATTAAAATTATCTATTTATATATAATATTATCATGTTGAGTTTTTTTTTTACAAATGCGGAAGTATGTATAAAAAGGAATTTCTTAACGGCATAATCATAAGCCACAAAGTCGGCCTAAATTATATTTATTACTTAAACTTAAATTCTTTTAATTATTTTCCATTTTATGGTCAATTATATATTTTGTTTTTTATAAAAAGTTCTTAGTCACATGTCACGAACAACAAGCTTTTACAATCTTTTCAATAAAAAGTATATTTTGCATTGTGCGTAAAATCTACCATTTCTTTTTATGTTCATCCATCGATACACCACCGGGTCCCAAAGACACTATCATTAGTAAACCGCCAATGACAGAGAGGGTCTAAGTAATAAAAAATAAAACAGTAATTACAAAAAAACGTATGACGCTTAATTAAATAAAAATATTTACCTGGAAAAAGTCATATTTAAGAAAGTCTCTAAGTGGCTTATAGGAAGGAATCGTCCACCACGCGTTATGATACAAATTTAAAATACTCAATAAAGCTACAAGTATGAGTGCAGACAATTTTGTTTTGTAGCCAATCGTTACCAGAACCATTAATATAGAACCAATTATGTCTTGTACAATCTACAGATATAAAGCAACAAAAATATATCATTACTAATTATATTAATATATTATAGAAATATTCATACCTGTAAGAAGCTAAGTTCAAAACGAATTAATGTAATAAACATGAATGCTAGCAAAATACGTCCAGCGAGTTGCATAACATTTTTGGGTTTATTATCGCCAAGAGATGGAACTCCAGCAAATAAACTTCGTCCCTCAACTCTCGATTCAGCTAACACCAGCAGCAGGGCGCCAATAAGTGCCAAATTACGTAAAAGGAATTGAATATCCCATAAAATCGAATAAGCTATTGTCTTCATAATTAAAAAAAAAAAAATTAATTAAATTTAATTTATATACATATATATAATAAAATTTAGAAAATTTCTTACCTGCAATACAACAATAAAGAATAAAATGCCAACAGCAATGTCAACCCTAAATCTAGCAATGACCATTCCACAGCCACCCAGTTGTCCAATTAAATTCACTAAAACAAATACAGTCGCTAAAAATTTTCCACAGCCCCAACTCATATCCATATATTCCCTCTGTTCGTTCCATTGGAAGTACATACGCAGACCATCTTCAAAGAATGTGGCTATTAAGCAGAGCCGTGCCACTGTAGGTAATATATTTTTACCACGCCTTATGACCTACCGATTAAAAAATATATAGTAAATTAATTATGCATATTTTAGTATATAGAAACTTATTAAAAATTAATTTTTTTATGCCTGTAATTATAAAGTCCGTGAAAATAGAGATAATATGAAACAAAATTTATAAGTGTGTAAATAAAAAAAGCAGATATCGAAACTACCGGCCAACTTCTATTTTGCGTAATGTTTAATAATACAAGATTTGAATATGCAAGTCATTCTTTAAAAAATCATATGAAAGAATAAATTTATTATTAAAATTGTTAAGAGCGTTGTTATAACTCAGTGGTTTCCTTAATCCTGATTTTGCAGAACAGGAAATTAAAGCATTGATTTTTCTAAACTATGTGTGTTGGGGTCCTCTGACACTAATCTCAATTCAGTCTAAAAATAAACTAAGAATTTATAAAGCTATTTTAAAATCAATCTGGACAATATAGAGTAGAGTTTTGAGGAACTTCTAGTAACTCTAAAGTGGGGATGAATCCAACATGTGAAAAATATGTTTATTAGATAGTTTTAAAGAAACTAGGAGGCTTAACACTATAATGTAGTTGACTTGACCAAATTGTGGGTAAGCAAGATAATGGCAAATTGTAGTGGGATTTGCTTTGGAAAAAAAAGTGATAATGACAGTTAAAGTTTATGGAGAAAATTAATATAATCTAAAATAAGATTCAGCATTAAGCTAGTGAATGGGAATCACAAACTAAATACTCTCTATTAACTGCGAGGTTTCTTCATAACCCCTCTCTATGCTTAGACTGGATTATTGTTTATCACTTCATCAGATTACACGATAACTGATCTCAGATCTGCACACCTCCCCTGACGGTTGCAATTTGATCTTTAGAAGATTACTGCTAAGATTTAGATTGTATATATGTAGATATTTTAGTGTCCTTTAGAAGCACTAAGTGTCTTCGTTCGATAAGGGTCCTTTAGTCGTTATGCCAATTACTATTTATTTATGTTATTTTTTATTCTATTTCAAAATATCCAAAATAGTATTGCAGTGACAAAGGCACCCAAGTATATTTTTATTTACTGAGCGTTATTCATTAAATGAGATAAATTTTAAAGTACTAAAAACGGTTGGGTCTACATCCCGGAGCCTGGAGCGACGAAGACGACCAAGGGCCGTTCAACTTCTCCCAAAGAGGTCACACAAGCAATTTTATAGTTTTGCTTTACTTCTTCTTTCTACAAGAAGTTTAGAAATTTATATATTTATTATTAAATACTTTTTTCTTTAATTTAATAGATATTAAGTTTATTCAACACCCTTTAAATTTAGATAAGCTATTATTACTGTATTCCCATCGTCATTTGGTACTGATTAAATTATTGAAAAATAAATAAAATAAAATAATTTACTTTAATATATGTATTATTTCCGTAATTTGAATAATTATTTTAATAATTTTTAAAATTATACCATAAAAAATAAACCTTGATTTATACTAAAAAAAAATAAATGTAACATATTGTTTGCAAAACACTAGGGGGGTATGCTAAAATTTGAGTATGCAGGGGAAGGGTGATATTTAAGGTTAAAGTTGTTTTTGAATTTCTTTTTAGCTTCTTGAGTTTTATTAAAATATTTTTTGTACACGAAGCTTTCTATCATTTATGTTTAACAATGTGACGTGTCTCTTTATACTAAAATATCAATGTATTTGAATGTTTAATTGATAATGAATTTTGTAACAGCTGAGATTTTTTGTAATATATTAATTTCAATGAAATTGCATTTTCAATAATTATTTCCTGCATTTATAAATAAATAAAAGTATATTTTCTAGAGAGATTTTAAGTGAGCGACTACAACCTGTATAACAAGTTTTTCTAATAATTTTAATATTTGATTGTTATAATATAATTTCATGTTGTGAGCACATGTGCAATGCATTCGATATGGAAATTTGGTTTTCGATTAGAAAGCCATAATAATAAATTAACAAAATTATTGCTTTGAATGCAATCTCATTAGTAAAAATAAGAAATTTTTTTCACTTATCATGCAAATGAATTATTATTATTTAAAATAAGTGTTAACACATATTGCATATGCTTTATTTCTCTTATTAAAATTTAGTAAAGATAATATAATTTAGCCAAAAGGCAGCTGTTAGATATTTATTAAAAGAGAAAGTGGCATTGGAGCAAGTTATAATAGAAAAAAAAAATTAAATTTTTTGCCAACACAATAGACGCACGATATCACTCGATATCCTCTTTAGTTGGCTAATATAAATATTGTAAAATACAGAAAACATACTTATATTCAAATCAAGAGTATTGTTTTTTTATAGTTTATGTAGCAGACATAAAATAAAACATTTTCACACCGGTAATAACCACGAATGCCATGTATTAACACTGTATGAAAACGACCTCGATGACGTTGACAGTTTCAATTTCCCTCTTCATTTAAATACCAATCACAGCTGGTATTGTTGAAATTTAATAAATAAATTTATTTCTTAATATTTTTGCATTTCTATGAACTTGTTCCATAATTGCAGTACTGATTTGAAAATAATCTTGCACTTTCATTTACCTGGTCCGCCACATCTTCCGTTTTCGTTATATATTCGTTGGGAATGTTCATTTTATGTAATATTTATGTATATATTTGGATATCCAAATTTCAGCACAAATCCTTAAAACTGTTAATAATGATTTTGTTATTATTTTAATATTACAATGAAGCAACTTAAAATGTAACAAAACTTCAAAAGAAAAGAAGAAACCACGTAAAGCACGAAGTACGAAAGACGACACAATTCACGACAACTGACTTTGCGGAGCTACTGTGTACAAAATGTCAGTGATGCCACATATTTGTCGCTAAATGTCAGATGTAAAATTTATCCGAAATGATTTGAAATTTTACATGCTAATTAACTTTTCATAATAGGTCTGTTCCCCGAGCTACTTGTAGTGACTTTGAGAAACACTGTGTATACACAAGTGCATTTCACAAGCAAATTTTCGAGTAAATGTGAGCGTCTGAGAGAGCGTAACATTCCTGTCGAAATTTGAAATCGCTACACAGACGTTACTCATACATTTTTACTTCAAGTAAAACATGTGTTGATGTGTAATCAGATATTTTGGTTTGAATTTAAACTTTTGTATTGTTTATTTGCGCAGCACGGTGTTTTTACCAGACTTTACACAAAGCTGTGTAAAATCACTGTGTAAATGTGAAAATCTGTGTAAAGAGCGTAATTTGGCACTTTATTTGTGTTACGCTCTCACTTTGTAATTTAGTTGTCTTTTACTTGAGTTTTACTACGAGTATCTCGTGAAACAGACGTAATGCATAAAACTTATAAAAATATAATATTTATAATAAAAAAAATGTGATAAAATCTATAGATACATGATACAATTTATGTTAAATATAAATAATATTGTATAAAAATTGTTCTTAATGCTAATAGCATCGTCTTTGAGTTAAGAGGTGCTAAAGAGTATGTTATGATTGTAGCCACGTCACGGCAATTGTTGTTACTTGCATTGAAAGCTACAATAATAGGCAGCGAAATTAACATAATCTTGGTACATAAGAGAATAAATTTTTGTATTATTTTCTATATTAATTTTTAATATTACATTTAATTCAAATTTTTGTAAGAAATGGGTCCTGTTTACAGCATCATAGTTGTTTCATTGCAATGCGTAAAAATGCTAGACAAATATTTCGAAGATGTTTTTACAGATATCTTTGTACAGTATGTAGAAGTCCATGTTGACCAACAGCAATAAATTTATTTCATTTGAATCGAAGCAGATATGGTTTTTTTTGTAAATTTGCTTATTAAAAATTTTTGTATTTAGAAATTTTTATAATTTGTAGATAGATTTGTAAAATTTCTACATAAATTATATATAATTTTTGCGTACAAACTTTCAGTACATAAGTGTTTTTATAATTAATGTAAAATGCAACCTTGCATACACCGCTTTTTTGTTAATGCATAAGCGCCATTTCAGTTCCTGGCCAATTTTATTTCCTACATTAAATAGTTTTGTTTTGTGGATTTCTATAAATTTTATTATTATCATTAAATTAGTGAATTAGTGTAGTAAATTATGCCACGTTATCGAGAGTGGGACTTAGCATGCAAAGTGTACGTTGGAAATTTAGGTTCTTCCGCCTCAAAGTACGAAATAGAAAACGCGTTTAGCAAGTATGGTTCTTTGCGAAATGTATGGGTTGCGCGAAATCCAGCCGGCTTTGCTTTTGTAGAATTCGAAGATCGTCGAGATGCTGAAGATGCAGTTCGTAGTTTAGATGGAACGTAAGTTTAGCAATATAGTTGAGTTAAAAACATAAAAAATTATTTTTTATATATAAAAATGTCTATGCAGGCGTTGCTGCGGCACTCGTATTAGGGTAGAAATGTCTTCCGGTCGTACAAGGCGGAATGATCGACGACGTGGTGGGGGCGGTGGCACTACTAATGGTGGTCCTCGTGGTGGTGGTGGACGCTACAGGTAAATTTTAAATTAAATGCTACTATTTTTATTGAATACAAAATATAAAAAAAAAACGCTATTAATATATTGATTCAAATAAGACTTAATATATAAAGTTGCTTGTTATAGAAATATTGCAGCAAGAAAAATACCTACAATGCATAATTTTCTACAACAACATACAACTAAATAAATGTTTTCAACTACTTCAAGTAAAAAACAGCAAAGACATCGCTTTACTTATAAATTCAATGAGCAGGCAAAATTTTATGAAACATAAACAGAATAAAGTTAAAAATATACACTTCAGCTTCTATACTACTGCTTCAATTTTTGGTGGATGTTGTGGAATCAACAATGCAACAATATTTTCAGCACAACAAGATTTAGAAATAATCAATATCTACCCCCATTTCAACAATAATACAAATCAGCCACAAATTTAAGTTTCAGACATCAAGTCAGCAGCAGAATTTCTTTAAAGTATAACTATGGAACTATATCAGACACAACTCAACTGTAGTTTAACAGCTTAAAAGTATCAGATATATTTCTTTTATATTTTTTTTATTGACCATTATGACTTATTAGTACAGACATAACACAAGGAAATTCCGTATTACTTTATAACAATTAAATTTATATCAAATTAATTAGGAAAAAACATCATTAATTCAAACAGATTGAAACAATAACTACAGGTTGAGATATATCATTTTCAAAGATTATATTTATTATATGTATGCACTTAATTTCGAAACAAGGCATATTTTGCCTTTTCCTTAATTATAAATTATTGTTTCAATTGCGTGTCATGTCTATTTTAAATTAATTTGTTTTACATAGATAATTTTGTAATATATTTTTTCAGATCACGTTCGCCGCGCCGTACACGCAGCCGCTCTCGAAGTTTTTCACGCGATAGGCGCACAAGATCAGATTCACGGGAACGACATTAAAATTAAAGAGACAAAGATTAATTAAAATTTTCACTTAACGCTTTTTATTATTAATAATCATAAAATAAGAAATAACTCCATAATTATTTTCCCTATTATAATTTTTAAGCAAAATCCATTTTGTATTAAATATTGCTAAATTATGTGTTAAATTTAAATATTTAAATACTTTGAAACTATATGATGCTCAACTATACGAATATTTTATATCAACCCACAATTTGGGCAGCATTTATACAAAATCTTGACAAATTTTTTCTGAGGTATGTAACTATGATTATTCAATAAAAAAAAAACAATTTCATAAACGAATAAGCAATATTTATAATATTTATAAAGTAATATTTATGAAAATAATATAACTCCAGAAAAATGTGCGAACATAAAAGGCAAGTACGGCTTTGGGTCAGTTGGTTGAGGAGCGCTTACTCTGAGCTTCAAATTTGGCCGAGCACGAGTTCGATTTCTGATACTTGCAGTAAATATTAGGATTATTTCCAAGATCACTGATGATGGGTATTTGGGAATATTCGAAACAGCTGTATGGTCAGCCAAAAATTCAATTAATTAAAATAATATAAAATGAATTTTTGTTTTTACAGTTCACTACTGTTCGAAAAAAATCTCTTTATATTTATCATATAAGCTGAGCTTCAAAACGCAGATAATATCGGACTTGGCATTATGAACTTTATGGTGTTAAAATTCATTTTATTTTAGTCAGTTAGTCTTAATGCTTCTAACTAAGGTATACAGTATAAATAAATGTTTAAGTTATAGATAAGGTGGCAGAGACTTTTGGAAAAATGTTAGTCCTTAAACTCTTCTGGCAAGTTGATGATTGTATACCTTAATGGTATTTATCCATTTGTTCGATTGTGCAGACGGATGGTTCAGAATGTTGTTGTTGTTATTGCGTAAAAATCGTCAGCTTGAGTAGGAAGCACACAAAAGAATGTGTAAACATTGTAGGAAAGTGTGTTATCGGGACAATGGTGTAAGTTGGGAGGAAGAAGTACAAATATTGTGCATAATCTGTACTCAGATATTGAACCATAGTTTAATAGGGCACTAATTTGAATGAATGTATTCCTACAAAATATAGTTATTTTTAAGACCCTCATCTATTTCCCATTTCAAATTGTTTAATATTTTTTTGTTATATACTTTAAGAACATATATGTCAGATTCATAATTCAGACAAAAATATTAAATACTCGAAACAAGAACAATATTTGGTAACATGTGGGAAAATATGCGAATATATTTCAAAATTTTAATATAAGTTTACTTGATTTATATAAATTTTCCGCTAAATTACTTTTTCGTTCAGTTGGTAAGAAAATTCAAAAATACAACTCTGCGTATTTTAAAGATAGATTTTCTTCGGTATTTTCGCGATTCGCCATTTCTATTGAAGTTCTTGAGTCGGCAAGTGTGCGCTGGTCTCTAGTGAAATTTTGTGTAGAGATATTTTGATTTTAAAATCTATTAATTTAAAAAATTCAAACAATTGTTTGAAAATATTATTGAAGGTAATAAAATTATAAAGTGTGTGAGTGTTTTAATATTGAATCAAAATTTCTTTTGGCAATCTTCATTATGCTGTCATTTTACGCCATTTTGTTTTCTGTATACATACTAAATTTCTTACGTATAACAAAAAAAAAAAAAAAAAAAAAATCGATATATGCAATTATTTTAAAAAATTTTATGTTTAGTTTTGCAGTTTAAAAATAATTATTCAAAATTGATAACAGAAAAAGAAACGCAATGCCACGTTACAGAGAATGGGATTTGGCATGTAAAGTCTACGTAGGCAACTTGGGTTCATCGGCGTCGAAATACGAAATTGAAAATGCCTTCAGCAAATACGGCCCGCTGCGTAATGTGTGGGTTGCACGCAATCCGTCTGGCTTTGCGTTTGTGGAATTTGAGGATAGACGTGACGCCGAAGACGCAGTTCGTGGTCTAGATGGAACGTAAGTGATATTTGGTTTTTAAAAAAAAAAAAAAATTAATTACATTTGCTAAATTTTTTTTAGTCGTTGCTGTGGTACACGTATTCGTGTTGAAATGTCTTCTGGACGCTCTAGAAAATTTGATCGCCGTCGGGGTGGTGGCGGTAGCGGCGGTGGTGGTGGTGGCGGCGGCAGCAGCAGTGGAGGTGGCGGTGGACGCGGTGGTGGCCGTTACAGGTATGTTTATTTATCTATTTTTTTTTTTTAATATTAAAATCTTAACACAAAAATGCAATAAAAAAAAATACTAAAAAGTTGTATGTATGCGAAGTTTTTTCGATCATATATCAAAAAACGAAATTACTAAATTTTTAGAAGTGAATTAATATTTTAATTATAAGATTTAAATATATAATATGGTTAATTATTGACTTCCTTTAATAATTTTTTGCAAATTTGAAGTTTTTAAACGTAGTTTACGATAATCATTTTACAGGATTAAACCTACTACTAGAACTTCTATCTCCTCTTCCTTCAACAACAACAACAACTACATCTTCACGTATCACAACTACTGCTCCTTCTCCACAACCTCCACTACGACAAGCAACTACAAGTTTAAAATATCCTACAACAACAAGTTCAACAATGATGAATATATTAACAAACTTTACATCGATTATGATAAAATTGAAAATAACTATATAAACAATAATATTCGCTACAAGACCCTCAGTAACAATACAATACCAATACTCGAAACACGATCATTTCTACCAACATAACTACTTAGCACACTATTACCACCACAATTATAACCAACACAAAAACTAGATCTATAACTTTAAAACTTGTTGTTGTTGTCGTAAATGAAATTAGTCCCAAAATATCCACAAAAAGCAAGCAAGCAACTGCAAGAATTGCTATAGTAACCGACGCAACTAGAATTAGAATCTTAACAGTAACGTAATAACGTAACAGCAGGCGCAAAAGCTACAAATCTGTTGCAACACGTTTATTAAAATTTCATCAACTAAAAAATCAAGTCAACACACATAGGTTTATTACGTCATTCAACTAGAACATCACAATCATCATTAGCTTCTTCACTTTCACTACAATCACCAACTACAGCAAGAAACTTCATAACACAGCTTATATTACCAACAGCAATTGCATCTATAGCTTATGCTTTACAACTTGTCAACACCCAGCATGACAACTTTCGAACATCGTATAACAAAACAACCCATTCTTAGTATCAAATAGCTATTCAGACTATTTGATATTCTTATTTCCTAATGATGTACTTACATGACATATTGACAGATAAGTATTAAAAAAACCAGACTGATACTAAACACTTCATCAACGCAACATCAAATGCAACGGTTTTAGCTTAGCAATTAACTGCAAATTTCAACATCGAGTTTTTACGAGTTTTTACACCCTTCTTGTCGCCGGAACTCACCTCACCTCAAGTTAAGAAAAGTCAGCAATGCAACTTTCAGCTCTAAGCAAAAACATCAGTGAAATATGAAAAAACCAAAATCAAGCCAAGTTGACTTTCTTTCTGGTAGAGATCTGGTAAATCTATATTATCTACAAAGCGGGTATATTATCATGCAAGTCTTCATTATGCAAGGTACACTTTATTTGTAAATGTAAATAATGCATTTTTGGTATACTTGAGATATATCCGAATTCGTTGTTTAGAGTTCATAACATTTTTTTCTAATCCATTTTAATTTAAAAAATAATTTGAAAATAATTGCATTTGAGCAGGTGAAACAAGCATCAATATAGTTGTCTTCTGCATGTGTTCAACCATTTTCACCGTAAATGGTCAAATTGGTCGGTCGGTTGGTCTTACATCTTCCATCTTCCTTTTCTTCAAGGGGCAACGTTCTTCATACGTACAGCAAATATGCTCATCACTACACAAAATATCACCAAAAAAAACTATCAACATTAATTCAGCCAAACTACGCCGACGAGTGCATTATATTAATTTAGTACCAACAATAAATGAGGTCCTCCAGTTGGTCTACTGCATGCGCGTCGACGTTAATTGCTTCAAGCCTTTACACACCTGCTGCTTTGGGTTTGTTCTTAGAATAGTGGTGTACTTCTCCTTCTCCCATCCTCTTTTTCTGCAACATACCAAGAATTATATTGTCAAGTAATCAAGAAATTTATCAAGAAATGAATCACCAATCACTACAAACCAACAAATCAAATCCATCAAACAATTTTTTTTAACCAACAAATATAATATATAAGAATAAGTATAAGTAATTATCAAGAGTCAACATTGTCACAACCACTAGAACTACAATGGTCGTCATATGTCGTCAGAGTCAGTGCGTTAAATACGTGTGCATCATCAGAAACTGCAATTTTCAGCTGTAATGCCGGGCTACCGTCCTTATCGAAACTGCCAAATCGTAACAAATCAAAAATATATCAAAGATAATCAATTTTTTTTGTCATTAAAAATAATTAGTTTTGTAAATTTAATTAAGTAGACAAAAAACTTTGCTGCAGCATTTTATGTTTACCTAAGTTTGTGATGTAACTCATCCGTATATTCTTTATATTGGAACTTATGAGGGCGAACTCCCCCCATAAGTTCTATATATGTACTACAAAATAGAACTTATGGGGGGAGTGGGATTTTTACACACAATCTAGTTATATTTAAACAAAAACTTATTTAGTTTCATAGCAGATTGTGATATCATTGTAGAGAAGCATTAAACAGGAATTGGTGGGAATAAGATCCAAATTTTGTTTACGTGCTTCTCCAATTAGATTCATTTACACTGCTTTTGAATGAATGAGAGAAGTGGATAATATACAATATCGTCCCATAAAACTTATCGAATTCAAACGAAAATTGCTGAATAGCAATTATTGAGAAATTACAGCTCAACAATTGCTGTTTATGCGTTTAATGATCATGCAGTGTGCGTGTTAATTAATATTTGTAGCACGTATACAGCTTGAAAAACTAAATCTGGTATAATTATTATATTAAAAGTAAAAAAAATAATCTGTTTTGATATATTTTTGTCCTACGCTTTTGTGCATTTTCATCAAAAAAGAGTGGTTTGTCTGGTGTTATGCTGCGATTTGCATAAGCAACATTAGTGATTTAATTTTAAATAACAGTGTAAATTATTCTTCAGTTATTAAATAATTATGCCATCATTGTTCAACAAAATATAATATATATTTAATTTTTATAATAATTATTTTTTTAGATCACGTTCACCGAGGCGTACTCGAAGCCGCTCACGCAGTTTTTCTAGAGACAGACGCAGTCGGTCAGATTCTCGTGACCGTCATTAAATCGCATATATAAATATATTTAATGCTTTTGTATTATGATATTAGTTTAATTAATATCAAACAATATTTTTCTTTATATTTTACTTAAAAACAAAACAAAATTAAATCGCAATTAAGATTAACAAATATAATTTCTAATGTAGTCGTCTAATTTCTTCGTTTAAGGTAAATTTTGATTTCACATTAGAATTTTTTTTCGTTTTTATAAAATGTATTTAATAAAACTAATATAAAAACTAATTGTTATAATTGTTTCAATTAAAGCTAGAGGAGTTATGCTTGTTTTATATATTAATTATAATATATAAAACAACGCAATGCAAATCGGTCACGGATGTTGTGACTATTGTGTGACGGATTGTTGTATAATAAAATTAATAATATTTAGGGAGTTTTCGAGTAGCAAGGAAAGAAAGATTTATTGAAATTTAGCTGACTATTAATAATATTGTTTTTATTGAATAGATCAGGGCTGTCCAGACCAGATAAAAACGCGGGTCAATTCAAATCACTAAATAGGTTGAAGAGCCGCAGAAATAAATACATACGTTTATAATTTTACAGGGGGAAAAAATACGGCGATAATATTAAATTTAGATTTATTAATTCTTTATTTATTTTATCTTTAATTTATCTTTTACAATTCTATCAATTTCCACAATTAATATTAGATACAAAAAATATCTTATTTTAAATGTAATGACTTACGGCACTGGAAATGAGGTTCTTGAACCAAAATCTGGGTTCAATTCTTAATATTTAGATTTAACGTTAATTTAAATTCGCTTTTTTAATTTGATATTTAATTATCAGTTGACTTCCTATAGAGTCTAAGAATTAGTCATTTAAAAATATTTTTGGATATAAAATGTAAATTCTTACAATGAAAAGTAAAAGACGTGAAATTAGTGTCAGTGAGTGACAAATAACTGTTAAATTTTGGAAAGATGATGTAAGCTAACGAAAATTGCTGAAGATATTGATCGCCAATATTCATCTGCTCAGAGAGTTATAAATAACTGCAAGGAGACGAATACTTGCGTTTCTAACGCTCGCACTGGTCGCCCTTCAATTCTGTTAGATAAAAAAGTAATATCCAAGAGTAATAATCTCCGTACTAGCTGTACATACTGCTGAAATAGTTGAAAAAAATATGTCCTGTACTGTGCGGAAGATTTTGAAGAAAAGCACAATCACTAGACCTTAATCCCATAGAGCATCTGTCAGATTATTTGGAAAATAAGATTCGCTAGCACATGATTTCCAGCAAGGATATGTTAAGAAATGTCATCAAGGAAGAATGGCAAAAATAAACACCTCTATATATGTCTATAATTTTTATCAAGTTGTACCATTCACAATACGTGTGTGTTGAAATGTTAAAAAGAACACATTTTCTTTACCAATTTCTCTTCGTTACGTTCAAGATGAGCGTAATTTCAGTTCCTTGTAAAGATTTCTTCAATGCAGCGTTTATTAGAAGTGGATGATGTATTTTTGCTATTATGGCAGCATATATTTTGGATTGGATGGTTGGTTTCAACCATTTCTGATGGTTCCTAGAACGGCGGGATTTACATCCCGGAGCCACTCGTCAATCACAAAGAATTAGAAACGTTCTAACGGGTTCTCGCAACAGCAATCATTTGTGACAATCTTCAGGAATCCAATTAAAATTAAATACTGAATAATTTGCTTGTTTTGTGAAGCAATTATATTAATATATCTGATTCAGTCCATAAATATTAATATGACTTTACATAGTATAATATGTGGGCGTGTAAATTACCTATACCTGTATAACATAACGTCCAAGAAAATTATTAAAGTTTTTTTATTTAGTATAATTTGTTATACTAAATAAATTTATATTCTAAGAATTCTTTACAACTTTTAAATGTCAGCGCTCATAAACATAATTCTATCTGAAAGCTACGATAATGTAATGTACTTTATAACTATTGAGCGTCGGTTAATGGCGGGACAGTATTGTTCATATCATCAGCAGGTGAATATAAGCCTAGGGCAGTACGGTCTGTTTGGTTGCCATGGTCATGTGTATCATCATCCTCATCCTCGTGGCTGTCAGTGTCATCACTGTCGTCATTGGCTGCAGCATCAGTATAATTAAAACAAGAAAAAAATATATTTCATAATGTAGTTTTATATGTTAATTTTACCATCTTCATCGTCAGTTTCAGGTCCAGGCAATGTCACTATTCGTCCAAGTGGATGTAAATCTGAAGCAATATTCTTAATAGAATCCAACTGAAATTGTAAAATGTGTGTAATTTAATTAATTAATTAATACAATGGTCATGTCGCATGCAAAAGGTCTTGTAACGAGTAATATGGGCCCGGTCTCTGTTTCGAATTTAATTTCTTATTTCAAATATTCTTACCCAGTTATGGTGTTCTCTCTCGGAACGCAGAACTTCGGACTCATCTATAGGCAGATCGACATGGAACCATATGCGATTGGCAACTTGCGGTCTTAATGATGGAAAAAACGGTATCATAGACATTTTCCAAATAAACAAAATTTCCAAACACGAATCGACAACAACTTTCTTCTTATATTTGTGTGTTTGTTTATTTGGTTTGATAAAATTCAAAAGGCATAAATGTTTGCATGGTTGCATTTTATGTATTTTGCTATGTTTCTTTAAAAAATTTATTAATTGAATAAAATGTTATCCATAATATCGAATTTTATGGCATTTACTATAATTTTAAACTGGATTAATGCTGCCCATATTAGGAGCTGAAAATAGGAGGATTATATGAACGTTATTAAAAGCATTGCATATGCGAAGATGGGCTTTTCTAAAATTCTTCTCAAAGTAACATTTTATTTTAGAATGTGGGAGCAATCTCTAAATATAAATATTTCTAGTTAGCTTAAAAAAATATCAATAACAGGAAGTTTCCATTTATTTGTAAATATAAATATAGTATCAAATATTTTTCAATGTTGTCAGAAATTGAGGAAGATTATACCTATGAGCATTATCAAGGGCATTATGTATGCAGGGATGGGCCCTTCTGTAGGACGGCTACTTTTACCCGAAGTAATTAATCTCTACATATGATTATTTTTAGTTAAATTCAAAAAAACTAAAACAGGTAGTTTCCACTCATTTGTAAAGATTAATGTAGCTTCAAATATTTTTATAAATACCTGGAAGCACCGCTAAAAACGTTTTTATTAATATCTGGAAATATCTAATTACCGTGAAATTTATGAACATTAAACAATAACAATTACACAAGCTACCTAAACCTGAACACGTATGTAAAGAGTTTATTTTTTAAATTATGCATGCGTAAAATAAATTTTATAATTTTATGAATTTTATATTAATTTGTTATTAAGAAAATTGGTATAAATAGAGATCCATTGTAGAATAAAATTTAATAATTTACAAACAGTCAACGAATGAGCATCAAAAATAATACACTTTTTTGAGGCATTGTGAACAGGACAATTCAGATATCACACAAAAAGTATTAAACAGAAATACATATCTTAACAAAATCAAACAAGGCAACACTGTTCAAATATACATTTTGACAACTTTGACAGGAAAGTTGTTTTGTAAATCGAGCAGAATTTTTGTTGAGTTCTGTGGATTCTTTGCGGTGTGCTTAAGCAAATACAAGACGTTAAAATGATTGAAATTACATGCAACGATCGTTTGGGCAAAAAGGTTCGTGTTAAGTGTAATCCTGATGACACAATTGGTGATCTCAAAAAGTTAATAGCGGCACAAACTGGCACAAAGTATGATAAAATTGTTCTGAAGAAGTGGTACACCATCTATAAGGATCCGATTCGTCTATCTGATTATGAAATACACGATGGCATGAATTTGGAGTTGTACTATCAATAAGAAGACCAACATAAAGTGATTATATACTAAATAAAATGTGTACAGCGTAAGAAGGATGTGAGTTAAGGATTATGCGTTGGATTCATGAATCTTCGACATCGTACTTTATATTTCTTCTAAAGATGCTTTTTATAACAATTTAAAAAGCTATGAAATAAACTATTGTTTTAATTAATCTTTTTATAATATTCTAATATTAAAATAAAACTTAATTTTTAAACTAATCTTGGAATGTGTAATTTTAGTTTCGTTTGTGAAATTTAGAATGTCTTGCGGTAATGAGACTCTAATGTTGGATGAAATGGCTAAAAACTCGTTAATGGAAAGCAGAAAATAATGGGGAAAAAGTTATGAGAGTAAAAAGTTGCTAAGTAATGGGATAAAATAATATTTAGGGAAGTATCGCCGAGAAGAGAAATTAAATGTTTTATTTAAGTACAGAAATTAACGTTCAATTAAATGCAATAAAGGGTCGAACGCGCTTATTAAAGGAATGATTAGGTAGAATACACTTTTGAGCTGCAGCATTAATATATCAGGAATAAATGTGTTCATTGACGACTGACTATAGTATTTTATTTACTGCATCAAGATTCGTCAGCTCTTCTAATTTGAAGCATTGATAAGTAAATGGGTATATAGCATAAATCATTTCCATATATTAGTAATTGAGAAGTAAAATTTACGATATACTATATCAATAGTTAGAAGTCTTATAATTATTGTAACTGATTATTAAATCGCCTGACAAGTCGCGATTTAGTGTCTAAAGCACACGTCTATGTTTATTATTATTATTATGTTTATTATTATTGTATGAATATCACAGCCAAATTTATATAAAAAATTGATACAGTTAATTTTCAAAAAACTCGGTATTAATTTCGAAATAATAAGCTGATCATGTCGGGTCATTTGTTTTTATATGGAGTTTATATTTTTAAGTTCTTGTATAAGCGATAATACAGTGGTAAATTTAAAATTAATTTTTTCTATATAAAAATTAAAAGCAAAATAAGTAAATAAGGACGAAAAGTTTTCAGTCCTTTTTTGAAAATTATTTCAGTGAAACTCAAAGTGTTACTACCAGATGTCGTCTACGTTCTAAAACGGTCCTTACGGTCTTTACTTCGGTCTTTATATAATTACGGTCTTTGCGTCTATGTTTCTAAAGGATATTTTAACATACGGTTTGCAGTAACATGTACAGGACAAGTGAAAATATATACATCAAATCTGGTTCATCCGTAGTAAATATAATATTCAGATTCTCCATGGATAAGTAATATTGCTCAAACTGTCGAAATGTTTCTCTGCAATTCCTTCAAAAATGTAGTATTTTCAATATATATTAAATTTAAGGTTAGATCGTAATGGTGACCTTGTGACTTAAGGCTCACTTGGGTTTGGGTCGTTGCGCTATTACGGATTAGCAGTGTTCTTTCAAAAACCGAAGTGACCCCCAAAATAACAATAGTGGGCGATGTGAAGATAACGCTGAAAGGCAATACTCCCCCATTCGAGATGAAGATGAACCAACCGGACAAGAATATAAACTTGGTTAAATCCATAGTTTTGTAGAATGACAATTCTGACAAGTCGCTAAGAAAAGGTACGTCAAAGATTTAAGTCTTCTTTAACTAACGTTAATAATTTTAAAAATGATTTTAAGAATTAATTTACATTTGTACAGTATTCAACAGTAGACGTTCAGTTTAACGAATAATGTCTAACACCGTTAATTGCTTGTTGAATTGGTCATTTGTTACAATGGGCATTCGTTACATTGGAGGTCTATATTGGAGACCTATAATTAATCTCACTGTATATAATTGCTTACTTATTTGGTCTTATTTATCGGTAGAGTTGTTGATTGGTTTATCTTAATTTGAATTAAATAAATAATTTAGACTTATGGAACCAACTTAGTTTTGTTGTGATTAATTGAATAATGCTACGATCTTCAACAATTATGAAAAGTCATACGGTATGCTTCTTGACGGATGCTATAACATTAAAGATAATTTTTTTTCATTCTGTATAGGTCTGCGACCCTAAGGATTTAAATATAGGTCTGCATACGAGTACATAGTATAAATTCATACTGCTTCATTGTAATATTAACGAAAATATGTATAACTAGTAATGTAACTAGTAATGGCACTTTTACTCTTTGATAGCTGGGGGGGTTTCTGTGGGCACCCATCTCCCTGACTAATTTGTATATTCCTCATAATCTTCGTGATTATTCATTGTCTACCGCTGATTACTCTGAGTTTAGATAGTGCTAAGTAAGGCAGAGCTTCAGAGCTCTGTCCCTTATATTTTTTTGACCGGATCTATTCTAAGGTCTCTTAGCATGTCATTCGTGCGAATGTACCATAGAACTTTGAACAGTCTTCGGAGAGCCTGACTTTGAGCAACTTGTAGCTTCTGAATAGTAGAGTCGGCAGCTTCGCTATACGCGACACACCCATAAAGTAGTAATTGTTATTATTTTTTTCACTACCCTTCATAAAATAAAAAAATTTCGTTGCTCCATTAAAGTGCATAGTTCTTTTCTGTTAAATCCTTATATAAAATAATTTCGTAAATGTAATAAAAAAATTTAAAGGAATACCAGTAAAGGTTTTGGTGCAGTTTATTTCATAACGAAATTAAGAAATATTATTTTATGTCCATTTTATAAAAAAAAAATGTAACAATCTATAATTCACTTTGGGAAAATAATTGAGTTTAATCGCTTATAAATGGCAAAAATATTACGGAAAACAAGCAGCAACTGTGCATATTCCCAAGTGTGCAAAATAGTGCAGTTGGATGTGTTTCTGGGTTATGAACATGTACAGCGGGAGTGTGAGATTTCGTGGCTCACGGGTATAAGGTAATTAATATACAGACTCCCTTTTATAAGTTTTGAGAATATAAATGAAGTTATAAAATTTATTTATTAACTAGAGTAGAGCAAATCTTATAATAACATTGTGTAACAGTCATCTAAACCATCATAGCGCGAAGTTTTTCATGGAGTGATGCAAAAACCAATCAAAATCAATCAATCAGCTTTTGGTTCGATATAAACGTATATAACGTTTTAATAAATTAAATATGTATAATATAAGTTAATACAATTTTTTTCTTTGGTAGTAAAAAATACTTTTGAAGCAGAGAAAATACTAAATAAGTTGTACGAGGCTTTGGCTCAGAAAAGTCAATAATCATTTCTTAGAACTCACATATTTACTTACTTCGTTATTCATTACATACGTGAGTCCCGTAGTCTCCTTCAGTCAGCCCGATCAGCGGCTTGCAGTCGCCAGTTCGTAGTACCGAGTGTCTTCATATCGTTAGTCAGCATTTCTTAGGCTTTCAACATTACTGAACAGACAACGTAACATTCCACCATCTAAATTAAATTAATGTTTCATTCCCACATTATGGATATAAATTCAGGAAACGGCTAAAGATTCAACAACCATTCAAAAGGTTATGGCACATGTATATTGGCACTCAATCGGTATGATATTCATCAATTCTTTTAGAAAGGGACTTGCCATCAATAGCAAATTAATACATAATATATTGTATATATAATATATGTCATACTGGGTGACAGATAGTGACCAAATTAAATATTGTAACATAACACAGTACTACAAACGCTTTTTTCCGGATACTTTTTAGATAGAAGGTATATCAATTATTTTCAAATTAATTTAATTCAATCCTATCTATGCAAACACTTTATGTAAAGTAAAGCGAATAGTTTTAGGCCCCATTGGAATAGATCATAGTTTACTTGGTTGCTTTAAAATGGTAAGTATTGAAAAATGGTCGATGAAAAATGCAACGCTAAATTTACGAAACGAGAATAAATCCATTGGACTTGGCATTATTGCAGCACGCCAAATAATGAAATGTGAAATTTTATTTCCACAAGCATCTCTCCAACACAAAAGACAAGGTCGAACTAAAAGAATATAAGTCGAAACTTTTTAAAAAAATACTAGAAACACAGGAACCGTAGGACTTTCGCTCGATATTGAAATTTTTTCAGTTGAAAATAATTGATATGAAGTTATTTCGAACCTCAGCATGGTGCTTGTGTACTATAATTACGGCACATAGGATTTAAATGCAGGCCCCAGTAAGGTCTGGTTTAAAAAAACGCATACAAAAAATGTTTAAATATTGCTAGATGGTCCGTTCAAGGAACAGAGCCTCAAACACTCCTTAGAATCGTAAAAATATTTATAATAAAACCTAGCTCTTTGTTGTATCTCCAGACACCAATATGTTTATATGCGGGTTATTGGCAATCTAATTAACCTAACCTCATCTGTTTAGAACCATCAAACTGACAACAGAAGAAGAGGCAAACGAAACTACATCTAATTAATTTCAAAATTCAATTTTTACCTATAGGGCTAATTAAATTTATTGACAATTTACCACTAAATTCAAATGTTGAACTCAATTGCACTCATACATTATCAATTCACATGTAATATCGAGAATTACTGGAGAAAAAGTGTGCCTCATATGTCATCTACTTTATCAACAAGTTTTAAGGGCTCAAATGAAGAAACCCAGTAGAAAATTTTAATAAGAAATTTAATCAAAATTTTATTAATTAAATTATGCATTTTCGATTTTTTTTCCTTTTTGAATCCATTAAGACAATTGATAACTTCTATGTAACTTCTCTTAAAGTAAATCAATAAATTATGAAATTACTGCCAAAGGGAAGAGCAAAACATCAAGGTCCTTGTGTCGATACATGAAATTGTTAAAATTGCTAATTTATCTAAAATTCTGTAGGCATTTCCATTTCCGTTGGGCACGCATAGACTTGTGAAAATGTGTGCATTTCAATGGTGCATGAGACCCAAGCCTTGTTCGTTAAGCGTTTGCACTTCGTTCTGTGTGTGGGGAAGTACACAAACGGAAAAACCGCAGTTCAGCAAATCAGCAGTTCAGCTTGAATTCAATTAAATTGAAAGGACGCAGTTGAATGCATTTGATTTTCGGCAAATCGAGCAGAAGTTGGATTGCAACCTCAAATGAGTTTACATATGGAAAGAGATTTACTGAGCTCAATCTAGCACACTTAATAGGATGTAAAGGATGTACTGCATGCTACAATATGAAAGGCCTATTTTCAAGGGTTTTCAATTAAATTTAAATGATGGCAAATTGAGCATAATAAGCTAATTTAATCTACTGTTATTCAGTTTATGGTATTTGATTTAAACTTTACAAGAAAGTAAGTAAAGAGATTTAAGTGGGTGTAATTGATAAGGAATTCATATATACATCAAGATAAAAAATTAAATTGTAACTATTTAAATTAAAAAATATTTACATAAATTGAAAAAGCTTAAGATATGTTCTAGAATACGTTAGAATAATATAGTTATTTCTATTAGGGATCTTTCCTTCTAGAATAGGAATATTTCTATCCAAAATTCCTGTAGTCAACGAGAGAAACATTATTCGGAAGTTCAATGATCTCCTTCACGTCTCGTTCGTAATTAGATAAAACGATGAGCTGTAAAGCTATGCCGCGACACTAGCATAGTTAAACGCATACAAGTATAACGGTCTCGTTGGCTGGATCATGTTATAGGAATAGATTAAAATGGTTCTGCTAGAAAGGTGTTTGGTTCAGTGACCGCTGGCGGAAAACATGGTAGAGGACATCTATATCTTCGATGAAATGACCAGGTGGCAATGATATGAAGTGACTCAACACTTACAACTGGTGACAGTAAGCCATTGGTCAGGCTGGCTGGCAATAGGTACTAGAAGCGCCCAAATATGACTCACGTCTGAACGAAATTAACTTTACGGATGTTTCTCTTGTCTTAAGGAAAAAAACTGAACTTTAGGTTATTGGGCAATCTTTTTCATAGCCAGTGTGTCGTCATGTTCTATTTAAAGTTTTTCATAATATAATCTATATTTTATATAAAGAAATTTATAGACTTTCTTTTATTTGTTTTGGTATAAACCATTTGGCCACGCGGCCAAGGACGACTCACGTCTTTAATGTATAACTAAGAAGATAAACCACTTCTCATCACAGTCAACGTTGCATCATAATCTTCGATGTAATATTGACTGTGATGTAAGTGGTCATGCACCTATAATCTATTTTGAATTCTCAGATATCATTTTTAGTCACATTGTAAGTCTTTTAAAATGGGTTTGCATTTCTTAATTCAATTTGGAGTAGTTGTCTGGTCAATTAAAAAATGAAAATAAATTAGGAATTAATTATAACAGAAACTCCAAATTTAAACTGTTGAAACTGTTTTTTTTATTTCGTATCTGATGTGTAGATAATCCTCAATATTATATTTATATAATTTAAAAGAATTCCTAAATATATACTATTTTCATTTCTGTTCTTATCTTTACTTTTTGCGCTTCTTCCTTGCTTTATTATCATCATCTGTCTTCTTATTTTCGTCAAGTTTTCGTTTCTTAGCACCAACATTGATATCCTTTATAGCTTCACCTTTTTTACCTTTAAGCGTCTTATGCTTGCAACTATATTGGTTCAGTTTGCACATAGAGAAATGTTTTTTATCCGGGGTCCAATCGAATAGCAAATCCATATTAAAATCATGCGATATAAATGTACGATTAAACAAGTTTTTCAAAAAATCGTAGTCCGGATCGTTTTCAAACTTAAGCGATCGGCAGTACAGCATGTAAACAATGAAGTCATCAGGGAGTTCATAGCACAGTTCTTCTACATGTGTTGACATTTTTATTTCTGCAATTTTTTCAAATTGTTGTAAATCGGTTTCGCCACTCACACCATCCCATGGTAAAGCGCCTCTATGAAAATATATAAGTAAATATCCAATTGCCTCTAAGTCATCACGCCTCGACTGCGTTCTGCACCTTAATGCATTTATGGAGGCGAAGTTCCATGTACCACAAAAATGATCGCCAGCGCTACATGGAATGTGTTTACCAGTTTTAGGATTGCGATATTGTTGGCATAATCCAAAATCTACTAAATATATTAATGTAGATTTGTCATCACGTCCAATTAATATGTTATCAGACTTGATGTCCTGGTGTATATAATTTTTGGAATGTAGAAATTTAATACGATCTATTAATTGAATGCCAATCATAAGTATAGTTTTCAAAGAAAATTTTCTTTCACAAAAATTAAACAACTCTTCCAGTGAGGGACCCAACAAGTCCATTACTAACACATTATAAATTTTTTCCTTACCGAAATAGAGTATTTTTGGAAATCCAATGCCACCGCTCAATTTACGATAAAGGTTGAATTCTTTTTCGAGCATTAAGTGACGATTTTTTCCATTTTCTATTTTAATCGCTACCGGCTCATCAGTTTGGTTATTTAGTGCCAAGAAAACTTCCCCAAAACCCCCACTTTTAATTTTTTTTAAACATTTATACTTTTTACCATCCACGAAATCAATTAATAAACTTTTGTTAGATCTCTTGAAATCTAAATAATTCATTTCTGTTAAAATTCGATTAAGAAGCTCACAATTTCTCACTAATATATGCGACTATTATTTTGAGGATATGTGTAATTGATTTAGAAAAGTTTTGAAGTATTAAAAAAAAATATTTGACGTAATCAAATATTCTACTGGGATTAAGAAATTTTGTAATACTGTTTAGAAAACATTTTTCTTTTATATAAATTTTGTAATAATTTTCATTTACAATTTAGTTTTTAAAGTTAATAAGTAAATTTGATAAAGTTAAGAATCAAACTTACCAAAAGTTTTTAAATTTAATTTAACTTAAAATCTTTATATCTTTTTAACAACTCTACTTTTCAAAACATAGTCGCTAGTTTTTCTTTATATTTCTTCACTCTGATGGACCACTTCCAGTCCATCCGGCAATCAAAGAATTTTCTGACACATACAAGCGCTTTCATATATAATCAGTAACTTTCATCAATGGAAATGACCAAATCTTAAAGTTACTTAAGTAATTTACTAAGTAAGCAGTGGAAACATGGTAATATACAATTTACTTCAAAATGTAACCATATATAGAAGTAGTTTTTTTAAAGATAAAATATGCCAATAATAAATAAAATAGGTATATTTTTAATTATGATCTTAACAAGCTATAGAAGTTGCTATATAAGTATATTACCTATAAAACGTACGCATTGAAAAATAACTTTCAACTTAGCCGAACCAAAACAAAAAAGGTATGCACTTTTTATTTTTTTTAACAAAAGAAGTTTTAATGGTATATAAGAGGAGCTGATATCCACAGAGATCTGAGAGTGGATTCAGTTGAAAAATACATTAAAGATCGTGCTCTGAAACTGTTCAATACAATTGACAGTCACAATAATCCAACTCTCAGTATCCTAAAAATACAGCGAAATTTGATAAACACAGGCAGATACAAAGACATCAGATCCATCATATTATAAAGCCCCGTAAAGCCCCGTATTTAGTGTGACTTAAAACTGTCCACAGATAAAATAGAGTAAAGGTGCTGTTTCACCAACTCAGACATCTGAATATCAATAAATAGTTTCAAACGTTTACTACTAATTCCTATTTTGTATTTGCCAACACTGTTCATACATTTTATACCATAACACGTTAGCTCTGTGTTAATACGTCTACGTTTCAAATTTGTCTAGGATGAGGACGTACCAGTTGCAGTAAAAAATTATACAAATACACATTTCCAAGCTCTACTGAAGTTGGTTATATGCCAATATACGAAAGAGTTGCATGGTCAGCTATAATTTTAATAATTTATTCCATATAATAAAAATAATAACTTGTACGGTTACAAATAATAACTAATTGCTTTCATGTTCCCACTGCAGCTAAAACTTCTTATCTTAATGAAATTAAGATTTGGTCGTTTCCATTGGCATAAGTTGATTTATACATATGAAATAGCATATTTGTTTACATTTTGTTTATACTTCGTATGACAATTTTGGTAATTTCCCATTTGGGAAATTTATTTCTAAGGGTTGCATTTGACATTTTTCACCTTTATATGAAAGCTGTTTGTATAGTAATTTATACTCATTAGCGGCTTTAATGAACAAAACTGCCTTAATGAGGCAAGTGAAAACATGGCATTATAATAGATTCACTTAAAATAAACTTCGCTTCAAACAAAGGAACCAGTTTTTCCGGTCCCTTGAAGTACAGTTTAAGCAAAAGCTACTGCATAATTTATGTCGTGAAAATTGCTTAAATACAAGCAGATTAGCAGTACTCACTAAATGGACTTATCGGTTTAAGCAATTCCCTTGCTTATTTCGTAACAGATACTGAAAAAAATGTCGCTATAAGTTGACAGTACTACACATAAGTTACTTCCTCGCAATCTGTCATTATTCCCCACCATTTTTTTATCCTTCCGTATTTCGTTGCAATGGTAGAAAGAATCTCGCAGTATATTAGAGAATTACAAAAAATGTTAAATTGCACAACTTTCATATTTAGCTGCATTTAACCGCTGTTTGTGCACAGCTACGAGCTGCTATTTCAGAGAATGTACACACTAATGTGAAGGACTGCGAGGTGTGTAAGGAGTCCGCTTAAATTGTGATTTACAGTTGTTGGAAAAAAAAACACGCAAACCACTTTTCATGAATACTCCTGAGTAGGTATGGAATATTGATATCTGTTCACATTTGCTTGCAATTCGAACCATCTCTCAGCAGAGATGTGCAGAGATGTTAGCAAGAATCTCTGCATATGACAGACTGACATGGTTTGCAGTATGCAATTTTTAATACTTCACTTATTTTATGTGAATTTAACGTTTCCCTGTGAGCAAACTTTTTATGAATTTCTCGTTGCTTTTTGCTGCAGTTACACGTTTAATTTTTGTTCATTTATTTTGCAACTGAAAACTTTTCTACTTCCGTTCGGAAAAGTATCTAACTTTCCGGCACGTACACATGCTCTGTTGCCTTGTATACTCATTTCGGTCAAATTTTATAAATTTTTTGTATTAAATTCTTTTACATATTTTTTTTTTTTAGCAAATTATCATGGATAAGCGCTTTAAATGCATTTTGGCTTATCGAATTTCGATTGCACATCAAGTGCAAGGATTATTATACTTGCATTTGTATAGTATGGAGAGCTCTGATGATTATATGCAATTTTAATTTGTTGGGGTTCGAAGTAGTGGTTTTACTGTAAATGTTTATTTAAGATTATCAATATATTTTATCCAATCTTAAATTGGATTTTTATTTCTTCGTATTAGAAAGCAAATTGACTTCATACATTACGGATTTTGTGTGACTCATTGATTTAAGTTCTATCAAGAAATACCAGGAAAAGCATAGAAATATTTAAATGGAACAAAAAAAAAAGTTTCTTTTTTTAAACTGTTACTAATAGACTTTATCAATATATTTTTCAAAAATTTAAATACAAAATAAACAATATTTTCAATAAATTGTCTACAATGTCTTATGGAAAGGTTTTTCGAACCGTAGTGAACTACAACAACAAAAATTCATTTTATGTTATTTTAATTAATTGAATTTTTGGCTGACCATACAGCTGTTTCGTGTATTGCCAAATACCCATCATCAGTGGTCTTGGAAATAGTTCTTGTATTTAATTATTCGCAAATAATTTTTTGAGACTGCAAGTACCAGGAATCGAACTTGTGTCCTGCCAAATTTCAAGCTCAGAGTCAACGATTCTTAACCAACTGACCCAAAGCCGTACTTGACTTTTATGTTCGCACATTTCTCTGGAGTTTTGTTACTTAGCTGTGAATCTTATGGGTAATGGTATTAATTCTAAATTGTCTATCATATTCATTAATTCCCCCCTTCGGTAAAAGGGTTAGAGTATTTCTGAGGTAAGGCATACCTTTTGTAAAAGGCGACTAAAGTCAATTCGGCACCAACCATTACTGTTTAGATTGTAAGCGGTAGTGAGTGAATTTCACTTGCCGCAACCAATCGTAAGTGTAATTGCGATAGGCTTGCATCTTCGATGTCCTGAGTAATAGAGATTGATAAGACCTGCGGTAAGACATGTTTATACTATTAGGCTGGTAGTGTGTGAGTAACTGATTGTAGTTAAAATCTAAATATACGCGGTTAGAATTTCTATATTCATTTACTCTCATTCGATGAGGAGTTGCGTTTATTCTGTGTACTGAATATACACATTAAAGATGTTGAGTGAATAAAAGAATTAATTTTGGATAGAGACACTGTTTCTTTGGACACAGAATATGCAGTGTCTTGTTGATAAAAAGTGGAAATATTCTTAATGTACTTATTCAGAATGTTAAATAAACATTTAAGGAAGTGGAAATCAAAAGTAGAACTAAAACGTTTTGTAACAACTGCTGAGTAAGATCGAACACATAAACAACATTTCCCACTCTTCTTCTTCGGTCCCTTAGTTTTGAGAGTAGTTGTTAAAACGAGCTTTCATCTGATCGGTCACCTAAAAGCGCAAGAAGAACTGGAATACTTGGAAATACTCGAAACAACGTTGTATGGCCAGCCAAATTTTAATAAATTAACTAAAATTTTTGTTTTTATATTTTCTTTGCTATTCGAATCCGAATAACTTTTAAGAAGAATAATAATTGTGTGATTGAGCTTTGTATATAAGTAAATAATTTTAAATCACTCCGTTTAACTACTTGTTAAATGCTACTGAAAGCCAATTAGTTAAAAACACAAACTATTGACACACAAAATTAACACTCATACGGCATGCGTAACCCATGCATAATTATAATAATATTCACTACAAATCTTCATAAAGCTTAATAAATGTTAATGAAAACTAACAAATATGTAAGTAAAAATGTTAAATTACATACAATAATCACACAACATACAAACAACAAACAATGTTGGCAACATTACACAAAGTGGCTAAAGTATTGCACAAAGTTACCAGTGCCACGGCCTCAAGCAATTTAAGCGAAAGTAAACGAAATAAGTTGGTTGGGTAAACAAGTAAACATACCAACCACATAACAATAACAACATTAACAACAACTACAACACCAACACCAACAACAAAAATGTTAACTAAAAATGAATGCCACAAGGCGCATATTGTTGTAGGCGAGCAGACAGAAAGCGCAGCAGTAAATTTGTAGAAAATATGGTTAACTGCTTTATTACTATGAAAACAGCGTGTAATTTAGTGGTGTGTTGTGTATGTGTGTGTGTGTCTGCGTGTATGAGTCGAGAGTTGAGTTGAGTGAGGGTGTGTAGATATCAGGCACGGCACAGCTGAGTTGCAAGCGACACAGTCGCACATTAAACTCAAACATTGCTGACTGCTACTTGAACTCGGTCGGTTTGAATGTAATTTTAAAGTAGTCCTTCGTTGGTGCTGTTAAAGTGGCAGTTGCTGTAAAGATTTGAAAAAATTTCGTATACTTGGCATGCTTAAGTGGAGAGCCTTGAGTGTCCTCGTTGCTAGTGTCTTTAAGGTATGCACAGAAATATAAATAATTTGAAAGCGGAGAGAAGGCAGGCTCCTGGCAAAAATCATCGTAAATTTACTTGTTGCACTGCCTTTTGGATTTTGTTTTTGT